CTAAAAACTCGTAAATACATATTTGCTTTCTGCTTGGTTCGTAAGATAATTTGATTACAAATTCTAAAAAAAAGGTGGCCTAAAAGAAATATTGGAACATTTGGCCTATATAACCTCGTTATTTTGACAATTTGGGATGTAGGTCACGCCAAACGGCTCAACATTTCTTAAGGCCATATTTTATTTCGACTTTGTGCTCAAATTATCTTACGATTCAAATGGAAAGCAAATGGGTATTTACGAGTTTGTAGCAGAGATGGCCAAATGCTGCTCTGAGTACCGAGTACCAAGTGTTTTACTCAAATTGAATCACTATTGGGAATTCAATCACTACTTCAGTCAATCGTTTGACATCAACTAAAGTAATAATTAAAATCGATGGCACTCAAACAAAGATCAGTATTTAAGTATAATACTTGGTACACAGTACTCAGACTTACATTTGCTCGTCTCTGGTTTTTAGTACCTAATTAAATAGACAAAGTTTGACGATCTCCAGATTGAAAACGCCTCAATTTCTAGAATTTTCGTAAATAAAGTAGTTTTAGATTACGATGAGATGAAACTATTCACTAAGTTTCAGGCGGATGTTAATAATTTGATTTTTAAAAAAGGGTCTGTACCACGGTCTATAAATATAAATGCATTAACATAAATTTTATTTATTACAAAAATGTTCAAATAATGATTTTGCGTTTATTCCTCATTTTTTCTATTATTATTTTAATGGAATTTACAACTGTATTACATAGAAAATACAATAAGTAAATGCGAAATTGGTAACATGATATGTACAACATGAAGAGAAACTACCCATTGGTAGAACTCAAATTAAAGTTCTATATTAGAAGATCCCGCGGCCATCTTCTTTTCAGACGCATCGGAGGGTTATCAGGGATCGAGGAGGAAGCAAGGTTTAAAACGAGCGGATTCGGATGGTTCTGCAGTTTGTTATGGAAGGACAGGTATCTGGATTGGGCCAAATCGGAAACATATGGAACATTAAGGTCTTTATGGATGATTTTATTTGTGACAAAGTAAGGAGTGTTGAGGATTTTACGAAGGATTTTGGATTGTAAGGATTGGATACGAGAGGAATTCGATGGTTTAGTGGAGCCCCAGAGCTCAATTCCGCAAGTCCAAATAGGTCTTATTATTGTCGTATATACGAGTCGTTTATAATTGATTGAAATCATTTATAATTATAATAAGATATTAGGCATAACTATTACGTATGTTATCCATCCTGTGCTGATCTATATGAGAAAAAGTCATAAAAGTGGCATCAAGTTTTCTTTACATTTTTAGCTGAATGACGGATCTAAAAATAATAAGTTTAGCTGAATAATATTCATGCGCAGCATTAATTAAATTTGAAAAGGAATTATCATTAATCCGAAGACAATAGATTTGACACACTTATTTTTAAAAATAATCATAAATAAATAAAACATATGAAAAAAGGCATACTTACTTATTTTTGGTTTCTCACTACAGAAGGTAAGGAAGCTTTAGTGTTTGAACGGGTGGTTAAAAACTTGTTTGCCCCAAAATACCCCTCCGTTTTTTTTAATTTAGACATTAAGAATCAAAATTAGTTCCGTATATGTCTGTCTGTAGTCAATAACATGTGACTGGTATATAATCTACTAACGTTAATTTGATTTTCAGATTGTACCTGCTAGTGTCTAGATGATCCTGTATCAATTTCCTCACATCCAATCAACTACTTTCGCTTACGCAAGCTTAAATGTTTATTCTTAGGTACGAATGCTTATTTGCAGGGCCATCACGTGGCCATACAGTGGCTTAATAATATTAAGCCTTAAAATTATTAAGCCACTGTAGTGGGCAGAGCGGGGGCGCCACAGTTAGTGGATAAGCATTACAACCAATTAACAAAGCCTATTTAAATTTAAATTTAATCTTTTAAAAGACAATATTTGTTTTCATTTTTTAAAAATATCTTTGTTTTGTTCCTCCAGTAACCTTTGCGCCACACACGAAAACTATAAAAACTAAATACAATAACGTTGATGAAAGCCTGTAAAAACTGGGCCTCGAAATTAATTAATAAAAATATACGGTTAGCTGCTGAAATGGAAACGGTTTTGGTGATATAGATATTAAAGGAAATATATTTAAAATCGTTAGGCAATTTAGGTATTATGGTCAACTTTAATTAGAAATAATATATTAAAGAGTAAATTAAGACTAGGCTAAATGCTGGAAATAGTATTTATTTTTTGGTTGCAAAATTATTAACCACATCTTCTATCCCGAAATCATAGAAAACGAACATACTTTTTATGGTTCTTTACAAAGCGAAACGGGCTCACTTATTTTAATGGATGAACAACGCCTTAGGGTTTTTGAAAATAATTATTGCTTAAAATAGGGATCGAAGGACAAGTAGACCGCAGTATTTAGGCCGTTACACGGTGCCGAATTACGTAATTTGTACACGATGAATATAATTAAGATGATATATTTGCGGCAATCCGATCCACTAATTAAAATTTAATGTGCACCGAGCTCACTGGTTAGCTTTCTAGAAGTTTGGATGGTGATCGGTGGTGAAAGTATGTAGACAGCGATTGTTAGCAAGGGCATCGAACTTTCGGTATAGCTAGGCCTATGTTATCATTATTATTCTTTTTCTTTTTAAACATGGGATAATAGGCTATTAGCAGATTTGTGGAAGAGGAGGAGGGACCGGTAAAAGGGCGACATTGCTATTAATCGTCAGCATTCCCTATTAATTAATTATTTAATTAAGAGTACCACTTTTTAACAGAGGTTGGCTGTGCCCCAGAAGGGTCTACTGACCCCAGATTCGATCCATGAAGAGAATAAATAATTACCTGCCATCGGTCGGAATCAAACCCAGAACCTTGAGCATTGGAAGTCAGTGTCTAATCTACTCTGCTACCACCTCTTTATTTGTATATAAAATATAATATTATTAAGATAATCTATTAGACATATACCATCAAGCTTCATAAGTAACAATTTACTTAAGCAATGAGCTGAACTCAATGGAAAATATTTCTTCTGTTTAATATTAAAACACTATCCCTGGGCTTATGTTAATCCATTATAGTTAGTACTTCCTCAAGACCTATTCATTTGTGGCAAATCCTTGGATTTTAGCTAATATGACATCTGAATATTTTTTTATTTATTAAAAATATCATTCTATATTATCCAAAGTGCCCAAAGGATCTTATACATATTCTGTTCCATTTGGCTTTTTAATAAATGCCATAAAAATGAGAGTTGGGGATTAATTGATTTTTTTATTGTATTTGTTTATGGTGAAGGTGGGTAAAAATTCTAAATTCTTAAACTTGGTGAAGCAATAATAATAACCACTGTGGAATACAGATTTGATAATTATTTTATATATCTATTTCCGTCAAATAAAATAACCATTTTTATCTATAGTTTATCTATTAGTTACAGTATAGTTTATCTAGTATCTGGTAATATATTTATCTAAATAACTGATTCAAAAATATTATCGATATCATTTTTGAATAAAAATAAAAGGTACAACAGTTTTATTTATTAATGGCAAATTTATTCTTGACAAAACTAAGAATACATTGTATTGTATCTTACACATTGCTGAAACATCATAATATGAGAAAAATTAAACTTCCTAGTATTTTCAATGTCAGTATATATTTTGATAATTGTCACAACCAGATAGAATTTTTCTTAATAACATTTAACATATTTCATTTATCAATTTATAATGGCTAAAGAAGATTTAGTTATATATGGATAAAATGACTAAATATTGTAAATTTTTTCTTCCATTTACTTTATATATTATCAACATTTCCAAGTCTTACTTTATCCTCAGGATCGTCTAAGATTGTTATACTGTATATAATTTTCTATGTTAATGTTTAATTATTAAATTTTGATACTTAAGTACCTGTGTCATATTGTTTCCTCTATCACTACAATCTTCTTGTGTGTTTGTGCGTGTATTTGTATATATCTACTTTTTGTATTTTCTTCTCTATTCAGTATTTTTGAATTTTCAAAATCAAATGAGTGTTTTTTTTGTAAAAATATGCAGTGTCAGCACTGTTAGATTGATATTTTTCCAATTACCTGTCCATTAAACTATCCTGGTATTTAATTTTTGATGCATCATCAAGTATGCCTGATACCATATAATTAATTGCAACACTTAGTTTGCAACACTTACAATATGTTTTTGCAATTTAGTTTGTAAATTATATTTTTAAATAATATGTATTTACTGTTCTTACTAGTTAAATGTGTATCCAATTTATTTGTAATGTATATATAATCCAAGTTTGATATTTTGGTGCTCATATTTCATAGCCTATGAAAGCTGTATTGATTTTAATTGTGAGTTCTGGTATGGAGTTCATTTTAAAATAATTGGACTGTCCTAATATAAATAAGGCTATATATGTTATTTCACCAAATTTATTTTCATTTTACATTGGCTACGTTTTGGCTAGGATGCCATTTTCAAACCATTTGATTTAATGATGCTTCTTATATATATATAGTCCATAGTTGGATTATATGAATCCAATTATGGATTATACATAAGAAGTATCATTAAATCAAATGGCCTGAAAATGGCATCCTAGCCAAAGCGTAGCCAATTTAAAATGAAAATAAATGTGGTGAAATAACATACATAGCTTTATTTTATATTAATATAATTAAATTCACCTAAAACAAAAAAACATAAATAAATTGAGCTGTCCTTTACTACCTTTATCATTTCTGTTATTGTTCAGCTCTATTATTACATACAATATTAGCATGTCTTAAATAATAGGCGATACCAGATTTGGTTTTTTTTTCCTGTCAATACACTGAACAAATTAATGAGGTATTCCACATATTTGATCAGAAACAAAATTGTTTCTTAACAGAGAAAAATCTATAAAAATCTTAAGCATATACAAAAACATTTCAAGGTATTAATAAACTACCTATGTTTATATATAATATATATTTATATGAATTACAGAATGAAGTTGGCAACATAATTTGAATAGTTCTGCAGTGTTATGTAAGTTTTAAAAATATTATAAAATGTAACAAACAATAAATGTTAATAATTTAAATCCAGTTCCTTGATACTTTTAAAGATCCATTATTTTTGTTTGATACGACTCCCGTTTTGGCTGTGTTACTCTTAATAACTGGTTATGTTCAACTACCCACACACTCCCTGAGGATCCATACTTGATAATATAGACAGTACCCTTACCAACAGCTTCTGGACTGAAACACATTAGATTAAATAATTTATTAAGCAAGTATTATTACTCCTTATGGTGTTTAATATTTTTTTTTTAGGAATAATAATAAGTAGTTTTAGAGCTGGTTGCTTTTTTTTTGTCTATAACCATTATTTTTTTATGTAGTGTGAAATAACTTGCTGACAGCGAGCCATGTAATTTTATACTGTTTTTTTTTTGTTAATGTAATTTTAAAAATTAACAAGTAATTCTCCACAGAAATAGTAAATTTGAAGAAAAAAAATTGTTACAAAAAATTTGCAATAGATTATTCAAACTTGTGATTTTGGACATGATTTTGTGAACTTACAATTTCTGTAGTTTATCTTGTTATGCACTCTCGATTAATTACTCAAACTGAGGCAAAAATAGCAGGTAATCCTGCAGTTTACCAAGCTATTTTCCGGTTAGAGTGAAAAGGTAGAGAATTATTCCGCATTTAGTCTACAAAATATAAACCACACAGGCCAGCTTCTGCTCACATAATATTTAACTTGATTAACTTAAAATACATTAGATATGATATGGTTAAAAATAATTTAAAGTGTTATAATATGGTTTAACTAAGTACCTTTTTTAAATAATTGATTTGATTAACAAAAAGAACATTTAATAGATTTTATCAACTGCTGTTTTATAAGTGCTGAATAAACATATACTACTCAACATTTGAAGTGATCTAAAAAACTCGTGATATTGTTTACTTTTCCACTTATTATTAATTAGGAATTAAATGTATTCACAATGTATTCACGATACTTTCCAAATGACTTCAAAACTCATTGTTGCCCCAGTTTGCAGCTCTGAAACGAAGCAAACAAAAGAAATTGACATTCTCTTTTACCCTAATTCTCGATGTCCATCATAAATGATACTAATAAGCTTAAGGTTTTAAAATCCAAAATAATTTCAACCGATTAAAAAAAAAAAATCAGAAGTTGTAACATTTATTTAAAAATGAAGATTTTCTAATCAATACTTGAATTTATTTTCTTTTTTCATTTCCCATTCCATAACTTATTATAGTTCGTTACATGAAGAAATATTGTGTAGGAAGGCAGGATATTGAATGAAAAGGTAAGTGAACAAAATCATAATTTATTTATGATAGATACTAATTGCTTATAATTACTTCAAATTTTGAGTAGTATATTCTGATGCATTTCAAGTAGATCCAGTTGATTGGATTTTAAATTAAATTGTAATTTATCTAAAAGCAATAATTACCCTTGATCTTGTGCACTGTAAAATTGTTCTAGATTGATTCTTCCCCACTCCTCATTATAGTGATAGGATGCAGGAGTGATGTTGCCTATACCGGTCTTTGTAGCACCAGGTGCAACGACCAAGAAGCGTATGTTGTGTTCTTTAAAAAGTAATGGATCCTAGAAAAATTGTTTTACAATTTACTACAAATTGAATTAAAAACTTAACTCTCTCGGTGCAAATGCCATCTTTCCCCATGGACAGGGTTTGAAAAGGACATCCCTTCCTATTCCAGAGGCTTTTACATGGTGGAGATAGATTTTTTCAACTCTCATCAGTGATAATTTCCTTCAGTACCTTTTTAACCTGAAAGGGGTATATTTCTTTTTCAAATTGGCCATCTGGAAGTTAGTTTTGTAAATGGTAGAAAACAAAATATCAATATAATTTTTTTTTTATTATGAACCAGTACATGAGGTAAAATTTTATAAAATGAATCCTACACCAAGAGTGGTAAACTAATTGAAAGAGATTAATCAAACATCTTACTCCAAATGCTCTTGATAATCCAGTAATTGCAGATTTAGAAGCAGAATATCCAGGTAAATATGGAACAGGGTCAAAACATGCAATAGATGATGTGTTAACAATGCATGCACCCCTATTAGCCATATACTTTAGAGCAAGCAGACATCCTCTCATTGTTCCATTCTGTAATATAAGATATAATACATCATTGTATTACAAATATATTTTATATACTACTTATTAGTTCGAGTGAGAAAGAATGGTTAGATGTTCTAAAAATACACGAATAATGTTTATAAACCACTATGCTCATTAAAATTATGAAAAGTTAATTGTTGTAAAATAATTTTAAACAATATTTTAAGGATAATCAAAACCTAAAAAAATATATAGTCAGTAACACTTACAATGTTTACATCTGTTTGTAGTTCCCATTTTCTTTCATTGACTATGCCTGCATTGTTGAGCAGAATATCTAAACCTCCTTCTGTAGATACAATTTCTTTGACAACTTCTACAAAAAAAGAATTAATTGATCTTGTATTATGAAACAGTTGATTAATTTTTATCTTGTTATTGATGAATCTATTTTAACTTCAGGAAAATTTAATAAATCACAAATCATGTTTCCATAGTATATAAATTATTAAAAAAATTATTTATAAAATAATCATCAGGAAATTTTAAGTTTAAACTAATATCTGATTTTTAAAATATACAGTGAAAAATTCTATTTTATTGTTTTTTCTTCTTTAATATAAAATACTTAAATATTTTTATATAAGCCAATTAAGGACTATATTTCATGAAATATAGGCATACCTAGAAACATATTGAAAAGAAGGAAACACCAAAATTGAAAAACTATTTTGTTTTAAAAACCTAAAAACTTGTGGAAAATAATAACATTTTCTTCTGGGAATTTTATTAATTAAATTGTTTAGAAATAAATATAATTATTTTTGTTAATATCATGCGATGCTTCCCCTTCCTTTTACAACCAACTGCCTGTATTCTCCTTGGCGTGTTACTGGTCAAATTGGAAGCCCTTTATTTATTATGTGGCCAAGGCGTTAGGGCTAACAGAAACTATGGAGAAATCATCAGGTCTAGGCTGCAACAATTCCCATTGACGACTGTTTTATTGAGATAAAGTTTTGAGTCTTCACAACAACAACTTCAGAAACTGTGCCGCAGCTTTTAATTTTCAGAAGTTTTAACGTATGGTTACATACTGGAGGTGGCTTACTTAAGTTTATCTTCAATTAAAAGTTCTAACTACTGGAGTTCAACTCACTCTAACATACTGGTCTTAGGTCAGCTCAGAAACACACTGCTTGGTCAGGAAATGCCTGAATATGAGTAAGGTTTTCAGATGACTCCAAATTTTTATGAATCACTTCAGATCATCAGATCAAGTTAAGGGAATGATAGTGTTTTGTATATTGTAACATCAGCTGAAAGGTTACCTTACAAGAGATGGGTCAGTAATAGTTCAGAGACAAACACCCATTTCCATGGGTTCTTGACAGGACCTACAGATTAGGTTGTGCCATTATCCTCTTCGTTCGGCAAAAAATGAATTTATTTTAGATGCATAACAACACGCGGCCACATATTGCAAATGTGACCCTTCCTTACCATTAATGGCTTATACGGGGTTTTCTTGGGCTAGGGAGTGTGGACAGGGATTTAAAAAGACTCCCTCGGCACCGGGACGCGAACTCGAGACATTTTAATATCATTTGATTGATATATATCAGGTTGCCGGGCAACGGAGGTGCTGTGCACACGCGTTAGCCCATTCGGCCACCCCGCCCACAATGCGATCATTGCTACATTAATAGGTACATCAATCAAAAAAGATCATTCCAAAACCACAATCTCAATCACATTGTACATTTATGGGACGAACTGAGAGGTATACCCAAAGTTGAAAAAATCTTCCGGTGGACCACCAAAACGTCTTCTCTACTTTTCCTAGTAGAAATACTATATACAATATATAAGCCAGAAAATCAGTCTGCCCATTCAAGATCAAGAATTGAAAATGCATTTTTTTTGGCTAATACACGTAGAAAATTTGACCCGATTATGATACTTTCTTTACCAAGGAGGCAGTAGTAAAACATATATAATCATATAATTATAACAACTTAAAAATTCAGTTGTAATACCATCAAACATGACAGGAAAAAATGTCGTTATTGCAATACTTTTAATACTATAAAATAATGGAATTAAAAACCTTCAAACTGCTGTAGGCTTGTAACATCTAAATGTTTAAAACTACACCTGCCTTCACCATATTTTTTTGTCATTTCTCGTACTGCTTCCTCTCCATCTTTGTCGATGTTTCCAGAAATATATACTTTCTGAAATATATGTTTTATTTATTATGAATAACATATTGATTTAGGACAAAGATTTATGATAGTATAAATCATTACATACTATATAAATATATTTTTGGTTGGGTTTTCGTTTTAGTTGAATGAACATATATTTAGGTAACATACTTTTTTTAGAAATAAATATATACACAATAGAAGTACTATAATACTGTCATTAAATGAAAGTAATTGAATAAATGTTATTAGTTCATTTTATTTATTATTTTTCAAATGTTATCCAAAAAAAACAAGTATTTTTTTATCCTATTTTAAATACATGAACAGAAGATTTAGAAATAAGAAAAATTCTAAAAACTGAATAAGTAATTTTATCACTTAATTAAAACTAATTTAAAACAACTGAGAAGAGTAAATTAAATAATTACTGTTTTGCATTGTTGCTTATAAAGTCATATTTCATCTAGAGTTAATAAATTCAATAACCTTGAGGCCTTCAGCAAGTAGGGAATCAGCCATTGCCAGCCCAATACCAGTTGCTCCTCCTGTGATCAAAGCCACCTTGCCCTTCAACTCCATTAACTGAATGGGTGCAGCACTTCAAAACAATTTAATGAAAATAGCTTTAATGATAATATCTAATATTATCAAAAGTATTTAAATTTCAAAGATGATCTTCTATCTTCTGTTCTTATAGTCTATTACATTGTTTGCTCCAAAATATTAATATCTCACAAAGTAATTAAATTATTTCGTAGGGACATTTTTTTTAAATGACAGTAAGTATTTAGTTTCAGTGAGGACCAAGGAGTGAAATGAACTATATTAATTACATTGAGAGGTAACTCATAAAAGAATGAGAACAATGCTGTTTATTTTACCCCTATTTGTGGTTAAAAAAGTAAAACGATTCCATCTAATTATTTTCATTTAATATTTTTTTTTTAAATCTGCCATATTGGCAATTAGAAATAACATTTTTGTCTGAAAGCTAAATAATATTATAAGCTTCTTATTAAAAAAAAAAATGGACAATCTATTAATTTCACACCGCCCCCTAGAATCAGAACAACTAACTAAAATCTTTTATTTTTGTACAAATGTCTAAGGCCGGCGGCACTGCATAGCATCAATATTCCTATTATATCTTTACCAGTTATTAGTACTCTAGAGAGTCCAGAAAGGGGTTTCATGGTGCAAGTTCCGCCATCAATATTTTTTAGGGCAGCATTTTTTTGATGGGTTTTTGAGGAGACACATTTCGAAGGGGTTATGAATTTTTGGAATGAAATGTTTCAGATTAAGGGACAAGAGGAAAACATGCAACAGACCGCAGTAAGTTTAATTGTATATATGGGTGGAGTGACCAAGCGTGCTAATGCGTGTGCACAGAACAGCGCGTTGCCAGGCGATCTGATAACCAGATATGAATGATAAAATCATCATTGTTACCAGTTCCAGTGCTGGTGCCGAGGGGGGCTTTTAACTCTGTCATCAACCTGCTTTCATTCATCTATGTACCTATAATAATAAATATTACCTTGCCATGTTCGCTGATCAGGTGTTTGATTTGGACTTGCACAACTGATAAATTCAATACATATATACATAGCTTATAAAATATTTGGTAAACAATAATAAGATAAATTAAATGATTTGTAGTTCACATAAACTCTTCACAACTCTCCGATAGCCGGGCATCAATAAACAAGATTGCTAGTTGCGCAATATAAGGTATCATTACTCAACCAGATAAGATTTTCTACCTTCTTGGAAAACTTTGCACCAATCTTCCGTTACCATCTCAGATTAACACATATATATTTATACTCGCACCCAGGAACAAAATGTATTATACAAGTAAACTTTGTTTTGTGGAACGTCCCTGGTTTTGAAGATTTAAGATGAAGTACACATTTACTTTCAGCGAATCATTTCTTTCTTACTTTTTTTTTAATAATGATTGATTGAAGTCTGACTATACTTTTTCTTATTAAGTTATCACACGACCTTTTCCGCCATTATAGGGTTGGTATGCGTCATTGGTAACATTAGAAGTGGCAATATTTATTTACCAAATTTGCGTATATTGAAAGGGTTAATATTATTAGTATGGGCCTAAAACATTAAATTGGTTTCTTTTTCAAATGTCTTATTGTTCAAACAATCACTAATTTAACACTTTCTAAATTTAAATACAAATAAAATCATAAATGATGGGATGATGCATGTAATAATGTTATAGAAAAGATTAGTAAATAACATAAATATATATTGTATTAATTCATATAAAACAGCATATCATATTACTGCTATGAAATATGCAACATTATTACCGCTCTCTCTGGATCTTACCGCCCAAGTATACTTTAATAGGACATTATACTATCCATCCGGTCCTTGCCTGAAATCAAAAAGCGCCTCCTTTCGTTTCCATCCTAACTTTTATTGATCACTATACGCAGATCCTTCACAGTAACTATATATTCGAGGTTTGAAGATGTTTGATCGTTGAAGTTGTTTCATAATCTTGAAGGAAGCAATCACCTTCTTCTGATTTTTATTCCAGCTCTAAGTCAGAGCCCTCTTCTTCTTCTTTTTCACCGCCAGTCATCCTGGTACTGCTGCTTTCCAGTTCCTCACCCATAAGATGCGCATCCTCTGCCACTCCGTCAGCCCACCGCATTCTTGGTGGCCTGCCGATTCATCTCTTGGAATATAACTTTTCTTCAAGATCTTATCATCTTCCATTCTAGCGACATGCCTAGCCCAGCGAAGTCTTCCAATCTTAATAAATCTTACGACATTTATATTCTTGTACAGGCAAGCTATTTTAACATTTGTTCTCTGTCGCAAGACATTATTGGTGAAGATCGACCCGAAAATTCTCTTTAGGACCCGCCTCTCGAATCTTAGGAGTAGAAGTTCTTGAGATCGTGAGAATGTCCAGCATTCAGAAGCTTAGGTCAGGATAGGTCTTATGAGCATTTTGTACAGCTGCAATTTTGTGTTTCGGGAAAGGGTTTTACTTTTGAGATGTTTTAAGAACCCGAAATAGCACTTATTCGCTGCCATCATCCTTCTATTTATTTCTCACTGCATGTAGTTATCTCAACTTTCTCAAAATCTGGTGGCTCTAGGTCTCCTTCCGGGATATCTTTCAAAGGCTCAGTCTGACCTTCATCATTTTCATTTAAGAGATCTAATAATCGATTTGAAACCCATCAGTCATAGAATATGCTATCTGCGAGTAAAACGAAAATTCTACAATATTAGTATCATTAATGTGCATGCTCAGACCGAACCATCGGTAGAAGAAGAAAAAGACTCATATAAGAAACTATAAGGAGCTTGAAAGGTGTCTAGATGATTTCCCTAGCGCAGATAAGAAGATTGTAGTTGGTGACTACAACGCACAACTCGGAAGAGAGCATGAATTTCGGCACGCAATCGGAATGCACTGCATACACCAGGAAACGAATGATAATGGTCAAAGGCTCATTAATCTTGCAGCATTTAAGGGACTAGTAATAGGTAGTACTATTTCTCCATAAGAGGATCCACCACTTTACCTGGCGCTCCAACGAAGGACGACGAATGCAAGCTAGTGACGGTTGAAAAGAATTCTGCCTATCGACTGGTGATACAAAGGAAGTTCAGAAGAAACTCAGTTGATCACTACCGTAAAAATCGCAGAATAGAAAAAAATATTACACCAGAGGAAGAAAAGAAAATGGGAACGTGATCAACTAGAAGAAATAGAATAGCTCAAAGAAAGTAGAAAATTCTGCAGTGTTAATACTATCAGAGGGTTAATACTATCCGTAAGCCGTTTAAGTCTCGAATAACGGCGTGCAGAGTTGCTGATGGCACATTGCTGAATAATGAAAAGAAGATGCTGGAGTGATGGCGGGACTATTTCTATGGTCTAAGATTAGTCATGATGGTTCAAAAAACCTTAATCAACTGAATTAATCAATTATTCTATAGTACAAATTAGCATCGATGCTAATGTATTAATCATAGTACAAAGTAATATATTGACATAATGAAACTCATCATTTAAACTGTAATTAATTAAAACAGTTTTGTCTTGGAACTTGGACTTAGCAAGAAGCTGTTCTATTGTATCATTATTAATATGAAGTTTATGTGTGGTAGTTTATTGTTTTCATTTTTCTTCTTACTTTTTCGTTATTCCCTCTAGATGGCTTTGTCGGGAAGTAATTATAATTTATAGAAATACATGGTTTTTTCAAAAGATAATTTTATTTATTTTTTTGTAATTTTATAACTTCAAAGGTCCTTAACTTTATACTGGTAGGTTATCCTCTTAGGAGGTAATATCCTTAGCAACATGGAGTCCTCAATGACCCACAGACTGCCTGGAGGTCCATACTCGATCGTATATATGGTACCACGGCCGACAGGTTCGGTTCTGTAAATATTATTAGGAAAAATATAATAATAAGACAGAATATTGCTAATAAATCAAATATAAATGTTAGAATGATAATCTTGGTGACTTGATTATACTTTATCGCAATCATAACAGTACCTATTTACAATGACACTTTTTTTGAATACCATATGAAAATAAATCATAATAAATGAAATGAAATGAAAACATATTTTATTATTCTGGGACTGCTGTCCCTTTAGGACAAATTATAAGTGCTAAATTCATGTGTAAGTGGTCATAAATAGAGTAGATGTTTACAATATGGTTATTTAAAAGTAAAAATACAGACGGAAAGAGAGGAAAGCGTAAATATACATACATAATAATCGTACATAAAGGGTACATAATGCAAACGAAGAAAACTAAAATAACAGAAATATTTTCTGGGGGTACTTAGATAGATCTTTTAGGTTTATTTTGTAATCAGGTGGATTGACAAAGGAGTAGGTGTTTAAAGAGGAGGGGTTTGAAAGAGGAAACTGATTGCGTGTGTCGAATATAAGCAGGGATGAAATTCCAGAGTGAGCCGGCTTGAATTGCAAATGATTTGCCATACGCAGCAGTTTGGGATTGGATGGAGTATTTAAATTGTAAGCTATGAAAAATATAGGAGGGTCGATGAGTTCTAATGATCTGGTACAGAAAGGTAACTAGGAAGTACTGACGGCGATAGGATGGATAGAGCCACTTCAACTCGGTGTAATACTGGGTAATATGTGTATCTCATGAGATTCCGAAAACAAAACGTAATGCGCAATTCATTAGGCGTTTAAGTTTGGCCTCGAGATCTCCTGAGAGTCCACCGTACACCATACAGCCATAGTCGAAGTGGGGGAAAACAAGAGAGGAAACTAGGAGTTGACGGGACTTATATGGAAGTAGATTACGTAGGTGATTGAACTGTTTTATGGTGGAGACAGTGCGACGGGAGATTTGGGAGATCTGCGGTTTCCAGAAGAGGGTTTGACCAAAAGTGACACATAAGTTTTTAACGGTAGTATGGAATAAGATAGGTGAGTTGTTCAGGAGAAGATTGAGGGAGCTATTTTTGCTTTTAACATAGGTATTTTGGAGTGACAAAATATCAAATTACATATTATTATTAATAATACACACAAATAAGGTGAATCTCAACTTATTCACAAGTCTCAACTTATTTAATGTGAACATGAAGCCAATTAATCAATTAAGTTTTTTGTAAATGGGTATCTGTACTTAAGGTGATAAAAATCGTAAATAATCAAGTTTTTCTACGTTTTATTCATTATAACCAACATTTTGAAAAATGACATAGAGGTATTTATAAAAATAAAATATTAGACATAGTGTGATACTTAAAGTACAGTATCAGAAAATTTACAAAATTGAGAAAAGAAGACGACGCTGAGTTCGAAGATCCGTTTAAGCAACAATTTAAAAATGCAGGCTAAAATCCACATATCCACTTTTGTCTTCGAAGTGACATTGAAAATTAATCATTGCACCAATTGGAGATATTTAGCTTTGTTTTAAAAATCAAATTTCCCACTTTCATGAGAAAAGAGAGAATGACAGGACGTTGACAGAAGTTGAGCTAACATTGGGTACAGCAGTAAGATACCGAGCAGATCTCATCAAAAATTGGAATTTTTCGTCGAAATTGATTATATCCGCTTTCGGTAAGAAATTTCTCAATTGAGATCTAGGTTTAACGAAGTTAATATAACTATCCGCCATATTTATTTATTTTCAAAAAGGTAAAAACTATTGAAACAAAAAATTAAAAGGTTATAATAAAAAATCCACAAAGGCTGACTCACGACTGATAAGGAAGACTGTAGAGACTGGCCAATAATTTCTTTCCCCATTCATCAGTTAGCATCTTTGATGCGGATTCATGGAGCAAGGCGGTCCCGGTAACTCCAGGCCCAATTGCAATATGGCGTACTTTATTACTAAAAAATTTCGATGGTTCCTGAAATAGTTTAAAGTTTATGTAATAGTTAAAAGTATAAAATGAATTACCCTAGTAGTTCAGATAATAAATTTACCACTAAAACTCAAGCGAAGCCATTTATGAAGCATGCAACAAAATATGTAAAGATATTTCATAATTGTCATATTTAACATTGTATGTACTTATTAATTAATATATTTATTTTAATTTAATTTCTAAGTTAAAGAATATATATTAAAATCAACGAATTACATAGTCTAAAATTAGAAATTAAATATGATTCACTGATTTTTCAAAAGGATAAGCTGTTGATGTTAAAAAACGATAAAGGTTAATTTGCTTTTGTCTCATCTAAAAGTGTTAATTTAGTATAAATACTCAATTTTTTGTGTAGCAAAAGTGTTTTTTGAAGATAACAGAGCTGAAGACAAATAACAAAACAAGGGTTGAGCGCGAATTTCACCGCCAACGATGGTGGAACCGTCACAACACGAGGAGGTAAGCAATATGGACTTATCAACTAGTAATACAAACAATGACGTTGGCTTCTGGGAGCTGATTATTATTCGTAAAAGACCTATGTCAGATTGCAAGTCAAGAGCACAAAAACGGCCAACAGAACCTATTCCAACCTCTAACAGTTTTGAGGTTCTAACCAACATTAACTCGCAAACAGAAGAAATAAGACAACCGCCTCAAAATGATAAAATTCCACCAATTTTTATAAACGGTATTGAGAATTATCATGCTTCAATTTCATTCTTAGAAAATGAAGCTGGTACTAATACATTCAAGACGAATACAACATTAAAAGGGGTCACTGTTTATCCACAAACACCTGACATATATCGCAAATTAAATTCAAGCCTACGAAATAAAGGCGCGGACTTTCACACCTACCAACTCCCACAGGACAGGTGCCCAAGGGTTGTTAGATATCTCCCCCATGATACACCAATCGAGATAATCAGAGAAGAATTTAAAAATATGGGCTATGAAGTAACGAATGTAGTAAATGTAATATCTCGATTTAAAAAAAAAAAAAAAAAAAAAAAAAAAACTTATGTTCTTAAATTGAATTATTATATTACTCTCACATTAAAATTGAGGAATCGCGTCCAAAGCGAAGTATTACTCAATGTGTCCAATGTCATCAATATGGGCACACTTAAACATACTGTAATCATCGACCGCAATGTGTGAAGTGCGGCGAATATCACGAAAGCAGCTCATGTTTAAAAAGTAGAGAGAATTACCCAAGCACCCTGGTACGAGTATAACAACACTTTACACACTGACTTACACGATCAATGAACACATACGAACTTACTACAAACGATTTCATAATAAACTGCATGGACAATCCAGCCAGCTAATTAAAGAAATAGCCACTACTATCATGCCGGAGAACTGCTAAAGTAGAATAAAAAGAGTCTGCATGAGGGACCTACTAACGTAATTACGTAAGTAAAAATCATGGAAGGGATGCCGCTAGGTATTGCTTTTCTTCATGCCTATCAAGCCATGATTTTTTATTTTTTTTTCTATTTTTTTTTAATATGATTGTGCCAGCTCATCTGCAGATTGTCAATAGTATTAATTGACAGGTGCGGATTAATAATGAAATTGTTAAACCCCCCCCGACAAAATATATATATATATATATATATATATATATATATATATATATATATATATATATATATATACATATATATAAGTTAACTGTATATAGGATGTATATAAGATTATTCTTTAGATAAGCTAAATCATTGTTTAAAACACATGTTAATATAGAGAATTGATATAAACAAAAGAGGAGGTTACAAAAGTGTTGTATTAATACAGTGTAGAAAACTTATGTAAGTGCTCGAAATAAAACAACTTTATTCCCACAAGCTGTGTTGTTATTTCTTCAGTCGAATCATAACTGGTGCCGAAACTCGAAGATTTCTGAGGTATAGTCAAATTCATTTAAGTAGTTAGTGATCTCAAAATCTAAAGCTATACGGTACATAATTATGGGAGAAGAAAAACTTGCAAAACTTGAATAAGAACTGGCTCAGGCTGCGGTAAAACACTCGAAGTTAAAATCTGAGCTGACCAAGACGACAGACACTATGCAGCTAGAACTATTGAAGATACGAACGCAGAATTCAGCGTTTATCCATGAAATAATTAGTCAACTAGAACCTTTTACCGGAGTAATAGGCGATCTTGACCATTTCATCAAGGGAGGTGATCAGATAAAGAATCTGATAGTGTCCCGAAGAGAAGATGGTACACTACTGGATTCCGACGTGAGTCTTCTCGAGACGTCTCTAATCGGTCGTATATCGAGGCGTGTTTTAAATGCCATTCAAGGCGATTTGACACACTCCTGGGATACGCTGAAAGTAAGGCTAAAGAAATTATATGGCGGAGGAAGATGGACCCCGGAAGAGGATGTATACTATTTGCTTAAGGAACGAAGGAGTCAAGGGCAATCCGAGGGTGAATTTGCTGAAAAACTGCTTATTGCATATGACAGACTTACTGAAAAAATGGTAGAAGCCTGTGGCCAATCAGAGGGAGCCCAAAAATTGAAGTTCATAAGGAGTGTCATAAAAGTGCAACTCAACCACTACGTGGATCGCCCAGGCTCACTTCCAAGAGACAGGGATTTCATAGAGTGCGCCCACGATCTTATTGATGCCAGGGAGCGTAACGAAGCCCATTTTGAGAATCCGGAACCAGAGTGGACAATGGTAAAATCACTGAGGAGAAGACACCAAAGTCCTTTCAGGCAGTCTACCAACACCCGGAATTTCGAAAAGCGCTCAGATAGAGGCCCAGATTAAAGGAGGAGGAAACCAGAACGGCGCTGCTACGAATGTAACCGAACCGGCCACATAGCAGCCCAGTGCAACCTCACAAGGTGCTACGAATGCGGTAGGCGAGGCCATCTTGCAAGGGAATGCCCAAGACACAACCCACGAACAAATAGGAGGGATCAGCAACACGAACGAATGGAGGTCAATAATCAGGACTGGAGCGACAGGCGGCCAGACAGCAGGAGCGGCAAGCATTACACCAGCGGGGACTCTTCGGAATAAGAGAGCGTCTGTTCTGAGCGCAGTAGCCCGGCTACGAGGAAACCCGAGGTAAGTAGTGGGAGTCCTTGGAGGGGAGGTCCTTCCGTAAAGGAAATAACGCCGGGACGCAACCGTGCAGATTGAGGATACGGCAAGGGGTGGGGCAACCAATCGAGTACTTTAATAATCAATAATAGTGGGACAAGCGGACGGTGGACTAGGTTGCCCGTGGCGAGGTTAAGAGATTCGAGAATAAAATTTTTAATTGATACGGGAAGCACTAATTCATTAATAAGTAAAAGAGGGGCTGAGAAACTGAGTATTTGGGGCGAGCGCAAGCTATGTAACTGCTTCGTGTCCACGGTTAGTGGTAAATGCCAAACTTTAGTAGAAACTTCATTGAACCTCTATAAAATAGCAGGGATAAATTCGCGGATAAAGGTTCACGTCATCGAAGAATTAATGCCGGGATACGATTTAATTATAGGGTGCGATATACTCCAGCGAACGGGTCTAAAGATGAGAGTTAGCCGCAAATCTTGGAGTTACATTATAGGAAAGCGACAATACCAAACCACAACGGAGGGAAATAGCGAAACTATCAAAATCGGGGCAATAGAGTGCGTAGAGGAAGCGATAGCGCAATTGGTAGAACAGAACAAAGAACTGTTTTACCGCGAAAATGAGTTTTTACCGACCACAGGGAAAACTGTACATCGTATCCATCTAAAAACGGAAGCCCCAATATATGTTAAGGATAGGCGATATCCTCAAGCTATGAGGGATATCATTAGGGAGCAGTTAGGGGAACTCCTTCAGCAGGGAATAATCAGACCCAGTAACTCTCCATTTAATAGTCCATTATGGGTAGTCGAGAAGAAGCAAGGTGGGCAGGGCGAAAGAGCAAAACAGTATCGAGTGGTAGTGGAGGGTACCGCCTCATATTAAGGGTAGAGGCAGTGTGGAACGGCTACATAACACATTAGGGGAACACCTTAGGTTATTTAAATTGGGACGAATTCTTGACCCATACGACGCTATGCCGCGCGCGGTGATCGCATATAATAACACGATACACGCAGCGACGGGGTTATCCCCCGTTGAAATGGAACAGAGGCGACTTAATCACGGTCAATAGTACTGACCTAAAGGCGAATCTATACAGGGCGAGAATAGATCGCCAAGGAACGTGGGTAAAGATTAGAGAAAGATTGATCCGAAAAAAACAGATTCGAGTGGATAGAGCGAATAACCGATCTGTAGTTTATAAGAAGGGTCCGTTGGCGCTGGGTACTGTTGTATATAGGCGATTAAGAACCGCTAGGAATAAAACAGCTGCGCGTTATGAGGGTCCCTATAAAGTGATAACAATAAGAGAAAATAATTTGTTTACCATCCGGGACGTAAAATATCCATTTCGGTCACGAACGGTTCACTTAGAAGAACTCCGCGTACCCCATATTGTGTCGGAACTCGAGCTGGGCGGTTACGCTCACCAGAAGACGTCACGATACTAAGAATATATTATTTTTACGTGTAATTAAGAATAGTTGCAATTATTGTGAGAGCCAAAAATTGAAACATTCAGATTTATTTTGTAAACTTATTTGTGATTCTTCTATTAATTATAAGAGTATTACGTTTAGAATAATTTATAGACTAAGAATTGGACATTTCTGTTTCTATTGCAAAGTAAGTGATATCATTAAGATCAGTGTAACCTTTTTACTCTATTTTTTTTTTTTTTTTGTTCCAAATAATTTTTATTATTAAGTTAAGTGTTAACCTTTCTTTATTTTATTTTTCTGATAAAATATTTTTTTTTTTTAGTTCCTCCATACGAAGGAACTGGAGGGAGGGACTTAACTGTATATAGGATGTATATAAGATTATTCTCTAGATAAGCTAAATAATTGTTTAAAACACATGTTGTTAAAACACATGTTAATATAGAGAATTGATATAAACAAAAGAGGAGGTTGCTAAAGTGTTGTATTAATACAGTGTAGAAAACTTATGTAAGTGCTCGAAATAAAACCACTTCATTCCCACAAGCTGTGTTGTTATTTCTTCAGTCGAATCATAACTGGTGCCGAAACTCGAAGATTTCTGAGGTATAGTCAAATTCATTTAAGTAGTTAGTGATCTCAAAATCTAAAGCTATACGGTACATAATTATGGGAGAAGAAAAACTATATATATATATATATATATATATTATGATCCACTAGTTGACAGAGTTACGCTAATATTTACCCCGAAAGACCTCGTGAGGCCTACCACAGCGTGCTTGGTGCAATTGTATCCCGGAGCGTAGGGGTTGGTGTCATAGCCAAGTATGGATGTTACATTAACTACCACACCACCTTTGTTCTTTTGAGTAGGCATGTACTTATTAGCAAGTAGGGTGCCGCTAATAACTCCTTTCTGAAACATTAATGGATTTTTATGAACATAATCGTATTATACGACAAATTAAAATGAAGAAATATTTCAAATTTAAAATATATTAATCCAAAATCAAAAGCGTTCGCATGTTACTTATTAAGTGAAAATTGAGTATAGTAATTCTCTGGCATTTTGTACAAGACTAGAGGGAGGAGAATAGGTCAGCGCACGGGCGGATCTACGGGGGAGGGGGAGCTTTTGGGCTGAAGCCCTCCCCAAAATGGTAAAATATAACCATGTTTTATGGAGAAAAAAAATTATAAAAATACCTTAAAGTATTATTGTTCGTGTAATTACATTTAAAAGGACTAAAGGAATCACTTAAACACCATTTCATATACTTAGTTAGTTTCTTTCTGTTTTTCCAAAGTAATTACCGTTATTTTTATGAAAAAAATAAAGCTTTTGGGCTAAAGCCCTCCCCCCAAAATCAAATCCTGGATCCGCTAGTGGGTCAGTGTGACTTTCCTAGATGGATGGTTATTGGTCTCAGGTGGTCATCCATCTCGATCCAGCTCGATCTTGCTTAACTTTGAATACCTATTGCAACTTTCCCGATCCCTAAGACAAATATAACTATTTATTTTTTTTTTTTTTGGGTCCTCCCCTTCCTCGCCGTTTAGGCTATACGGGGTTTTCCCGGGCCAGGAGATGTGGGCCGGGATTTAAAAGATTCCCTCGGCACCGGGACGTGAACTCGTGATTAATTTTTATGTCATTGAGTCATATATCAGGTTGCCAGGCAACGGCGGTGCAGTGCACACGCGTTAGCCCATTTGGCCACTCCGCCCACTTATATTACTATTTACTAATTAAAATTTAATAACTAAAATTCATATTTGTGTTCACCACAGGAGGATCTACGGGGGGAGGGCTTTCGGGTTGAAGCCCTCCCCTTCCCTCCCCACAAAATGGTAAAATGTAATCATGTTTTACTGAAAAAAATATTAAAAGTAAAAGTGATAATATAAAACTTACAACATTAGTGTCAAATTCTGATTCCCATGATTTGTCATTCAACATCCCTGCATTGTTGACAAGGATATCCATACTTCCCTCTCTGCATATTATGTACTTAAAAGCATCTAAAATTAAATGTAAACAATTAAAAATATGCCTATTTTTATGAAAATATTGCTGGGGAAACCAAAAATTAATTAACAGATTATTGTTAAACCATTATAGTTCCAATATTAGATTAGAAATTTAACTTACAACATCCTAATTTCAAATTAGTATCTAACGATTATGAGTAATAGGAATCGTCCAAAAGACAGTTTTAATCAATGAAAAAGAAAATTATTTATTACACTTCATTATTTCAGTAAAATACATGGAAAACAGATTGCAACAAACAATAACTGCACAAACATTATTAAGGGCAATACAATACAGATGTTTTTACTATGACAAACTGATTTTTAAAGACTATTAACCTAATCAATCCAGGAATTCGAAGAGGCCTGGGCCTCATAGTTAATGGAAATAAGACGGTGTTCATAAAATGTTCTAGAAGAGAAAAGGTACAAAATATGAAAATAACTTTAAGGGATCACAACATTAGGCCTGTTGACCTTGGAAGCCTAGCGACATACAATAATAGAATAGAGTGTGAAATAAAGGCCAGGATAGCAGCAGAAAATTAATGCTATTTTTCACCGGTAAGAGATTTGAAATTTAGATCACTTTCTAAAAGAATTAAAATCCTCATCTACAAGATCATAGCAAGGCCAGTGTTTTGAGTAAATGATAATGTATCCGAGCGCCGCTTTGCGGTGAGTTGTAAAAACAGATCTGATAAAAGATCTAAAAGATAAGAGTTAAACTGCCCAAGGTACGAGCTTCTCTCGCCCCATTCCAGGCCAGCCACTAAAGCCGAGAGGATCACCTAAGACTGGAGAAGGGCGCCATTCTTTCTTCAAGGACCAAGTAACATATAAATGCCAGAATAAAAGGGTGAGTTTTATTTTGCATAATTCATATAACCTACCACTTTCAATAAAAATATAGTCCACTGCCAAAATAATGCCTAATGTTGCCTAAGCAGAACTTATTAGAGTTATTTGCCTTTTTTAATTAAATTAGAAAGTTGCCAAAACAGCCAATAAATGGAAGAAATTCTCTGAGAATGGAATTTGGAGAAGAAGAAAGAATGAGAAGCTGCGGAAACTGTATGGATGCCCTGTGTATACAACATATTGTGTGGCATTGATTGAAAAATAGCCCGGATAAAGTGGACAGGTTATGTAGAAAGTATGCAAAAGAGGATGCTCTATGAAAAGCTGAATGGCAAAAGAAGTTAAGGACGCCTTTGGATCAGATAGCTGAAGGATGTGGGGGACAATCAGAGGCGGCTGGGCGTTCGAAGATGAAGAGAAACAGCACAATTGGCGGCAGTTAAGGAGACCCGAGTTATAGCAGGACTATTGCGCCATAATAATAATATAACCTCAAAAAATTGTAATGTACCTTTAAGCAAATCGATTAAACACATTTTATTTAATCACGGGACAGTGTTTTTAGCTCAAATTGTTTCTATACATTCAGGTAGTTCCACCGAAAAAATCGAGTCGTCGAACCTAAAAATAGATCCAGACGTTCCTTTAAAAAATCGATACATATATTTTAGCGGACAACACATAACCCGTGTGTCGCTCCGCTTAGTCGAGTAAAAATATCCTTTAAAATGATATACTACAAAACGTTTTTTCATTTCTTTTAGAATTTTCAAGGAATATTATAAAAATTAGAATTGGTCAAAACGATTATAAAATTTCATTTGAATATCGTCGGTATGTTGCAAAAAAGTCATTAAGTGCATTTTTGATATAGGTTAACTTGCAAATATGTTTTTGTGAATTTCAACCTTATTTGTTCATATAACACCGTAAGTGCCTGAAAATGAAACAAACCCTTTTATCTAAGACATATTTACAGTAAGTGTACAATTTCTGATTTCAAACAGAGAAAATTCATTAAAGTTCTAAATATTTTGAGATTATGAAATGTCACATAATGACTTTTTGCAATAAACTAACGATATATTTAATCCATTATTTTCCCCTTATACTCCTTTCTTTTTTTTTCTTTTTTTTTTTTAACGATAACGTATTTGCAAAATAATTTCACTCTAATTAATAAGTTTGAGCTGTCAACTTTCTTAAAAGAGTATAAATTTGTTATGACAACGATCAGGGACATTTAAGTATATAAGCATGATCGCAAGCTATACTTTGTACAGTATATACTATATATTACACATCGTAACAAATAATTATACTCGACTTTATCAATATCATTCCTTCGTAATTACAAGTATCTACATTATGTTAAAACTGCTAATATTAATTAAGCCTGTACACATATCGCATTTCAAGAGTGAAATAGGTACAACTCAAAATTTCTAACGATACAAAGTTTAATAGTAGGAACACTATCAACCCAAAGAGCAGCAAGGTCTCAAACATTTGGCCAAACCAAAAGACACGACACTTCAAGAGTACCCAGAAAATAGCGGAATGACAAATAGCGCAAATAGCGTCAACATTTGGGTAGACACATTTTTACGCAGTTGTTAATTTTTAGAGGGAAGCATACTTTTGTGGGGTTAGTTTTCATCCAGGGTATGAAGAAAAATATATAAGAGCCCATAGGAAGTTAAATAAACCAGATTACAAAGCTTTTTTCCAATGTTCATTCTTACAACAAAATAATTGTTTTGAGTTGTGCCCCTTTCACCCAGATCGATGTCCCTGGCCTACTAATATCTTTCATCCTTAATGTGCAAGAATATACATCAATGGAATTTTTTGCAGTTTTATAAAAAGAAGGTTTGGAAGATAAAATATAACTGTGTCAATTATTACACCTTCAAATTGTTTGTTGTTAGTAACATCAAGAGGTATAAAATCACATCTTCCTTCACCGAATTTATTATTCATATACAGTAAAGCGTTAACGCCTCTATGACTGTTTCTACCAGCGAGGTATGCTTTCTGTAATAAAAAAGAATGTAGTATTAAATCAATTAAAAAACTTATTTTACATAAACCGAAAATAATATTTCTATTGAAAAAAAAAGATTCAGAAGAATTAAATAAAAACTTTACTTAGAAATAACAAACTTAAACAAAGATGAAAGTTTACTTTGAACTACTCAAAAGTTCATAATTACTCTCTCAATACCTCTCTTAGTAAACTGCATTCTATTAAAATATTTATTTTAGAATAAACCCAGTACACTATTAAGTTTAGAGAATGATTATATACAGTAATCAGTGGTGGATTTAAACACTTAGAGACCAAGCCATTTGTCTAGGCTGTCAATTTTTAATGGATGGTAAGTTTGATTAAAATTATTTTTTTAAATACAAGAGACTAGTAATTATTAAAACACAGCTCAATTCTTTACACATGAATATAATAATTTTCTATACATAGTTGCAATGATTTTTTTTTTTTTGGTGAAAGTAACGGCTGAAAGAAGCACCATTGGCACAAGACTGCGCCAGCATTAAAACAAATTCTAAAAGAGATCCGCTCCTGATCTAAAAATGAATAAGTGGGTAAATAAAATATATCGTGGTCAGTTATTTAGTGTAATTATAGAGCATAGATCTTCTCCGGGAGAAATTAGTTTTCAGAGAAAACTTCTAGATTCAATCAATAACCTTTAACATCTTGTCGGGCTGAATGAAAAGGGAAAACTAAATTTTAAAAAGTTGAAGTGATGGCCGAGCGTGTTGCCTATATTGTCTTCCCGAGTCCAGCTGGGCGGCATACTGTTGCGAGCAAACGCCACTGTTGGACATTGGGGTTGGGAGAAAAAACAAAAGTTACAATTTGGAAGTTTTACTGCATAAGTGACAAACTAATATTGTTTCACCTTCATGTCCAGTAATTTTTAACTTAATTATCCCATTGATATTGTGCTTTTTTATATTTAGAGCTGTTATTGAGGATTTAACACGCAGTTAAGTTGAATTTAGAGTGACTCCCATTACTTTTTAGTTATTTCTTTTTTTTTTAATGTGTATTCAAGTTAACATCGACCACTTATTGACTAGATAACATATAGTTGTCTATACTGACTAAATTACAAACAATTGTTTGTTATGTTTATTTAATGAAATTTACAACTGTATACAAATACAACCAGTAAATATGCACAAAGAAGCTATCGGAGCAAAAACCTATCTGTGAGGCATCGAAACTAATAAGAATACTAAAGACCCTAAAAAGAACCTAAAAACTCAAAAATTGTATTCCTTTGTGATGCAGCAATTTATTACAATCACTACAACAGTATTACAATCACTCAGGTCAAAGTGGAGTAAAAGCGAGATAAAACTTGTCGAAGATCTTAAAGACTTGATGTCCCTTCACAAGAAAGTTCAGTAATGGATCCCTAGACATCTATGGAAACGAAAGGGCAGACTAGCTGCCAAAGGAATGGGCCTTGAGTTCGTAATTTGATTGTAAGATCAGCCTATACAAGGTAAAAACAATCAATAAAGCTATTATTAATTAATCGCCATAATTATCGTTGGCTCTGAAATCATCCACTTTATGACCCAGAAATGTGATCTATGGACTAACTCGACGAAATCAGGTCTTGATCTTTCGCTTACGAACTATATATAACAGGCTTAAAGATCACCTATTCAGTAAGTTAAAAATTGGCTCTTGTTCCCTCTGCGAGTGCGGTGAGGGTGAGCAGAATGTGGAACATATCCTACAAACGTGCATGACCTACTCCCAGCAAAGGAATGGGATCTGACCCTCTCCGACTGAATTGGAAAGGAAACTATATGGAAGCCTGGAGGGCCTAAGGAGGACTACCGAAGTCTTCATTTTAGTGCCTCATCTAGTAATATAAGGAAGAACGCAGCAGAAGAATATGCACAAATTATAAATAATGACATGAAAAATCTTGAAGAGATACTACCCAGTGGTAATACTCCCTAAATAATTCTAGGTAAGAAGATCACGGGGACATCTCATTTTCAAACGCCTAGGAGGATTAACAGAAATCAAGGAAGAAGCAAGGGTGGAACAAGTGGATTCGGATGGGACTGGAGTTTATCGTGACAGGATAGATATCTGGCTCGGGCTAAATCAGTGACATATGGTACATTAAGGTCTTTATGAATGGTTTTATTTGTGACAAAGTATGGAGCATTAAGGATTTTGGATTGTATGAATTGGATACGACAGGAATTCGATGGTGCCCCAAAGCTCAACTCCGTATGTCCATATAGATCTTATTATAGTAATGTAGATAAGTCTTTTGTAATTAACTGAAAGTTTAGAGAGTTTGTCTAATAAGTGTTGGAGTATTCGGAAACGTCGAGCAGTTTCTTGTCGTTTCAGTCTAGTATGAGGATTACAAGTAAGTCGTTTATCCGAGTGGAGTCCTAAGTAGCGGATTTGCTCAACAGGAATATGTAGAGTATTATTGAACGATACTGTAGAACAGGAAGTCATCGGTTTACGACAATTACAAACAATAAATCAAATTTTTTTATTATTACATACATGTAATTTTATTGTAAAAATATTGTATAGGCAGATACCAATATAATCTTTATAATCCATTTCTTGTGGTTTGTAAACATTACATTGTTTAGATATTGTATAATTTATTACCTATTTCATAACGATCTGTTACAATGAAATATAAATAAATAAAGTTACATGTATGTAATAATAAAAATTTTGATTTATTGTTTGTACTTTGGTCAGTATAGACAATTAGTCAATTGTTATTTAGTCAATAACTGGATCGATTGTAACTCGAATAAGCATGTAAAAAAAAAAAAAAAAGAATAACTAAAAAGTAATGGTAGTCACTCTGAATTCAACTTTCCGCGTGTTAAATCCTCAATAACTTCTGAGGTGATAGATAGGGGCAAGGTCTGAAAACTGTTTCAAGAAGTTCAAACCTTTGTTAACAATAGTTCCAACAGTTCTCCCCACCAGCATCAGTACCAGTACCAATATATAAAGAATTGAGAAGCCCTTTGACTTTTACAACTAAGACCTTATTTCTTTTCACTAGTAAGTTGATTTATTTCTCCAAACTTGACTTACCTGCAGCCCAGCAGCTAATAATGAATCAGCAATTGCTAACCCAATGCCAGAAGCTCCACCAGTGATCAAGGCTATTTTGCATTTTACATCCATGAATTTTTTGCAAGGAATATCGCTATACATTAATAAAAAAGATCAGTCAATTAAAAAAACTTAAATAGGTAATAATTGTTTATTCATTCCCATAAGTGATTTTAACTTAACATTTGATTCATTACCTCCTTTTATATTAAGAATCTTTTTGTTTTCGTTATCCTGAATATATTGAGGCTGATTATCCAGGTAAAGGAGAGGAATTTTAATATTTGTAACTCGGTCACAGAACAGGATAGAAATCGTGATGACTCACAGCATTATGAAGGATTTTAGCACGTTATGTGATTGATAAGAATAATATTAGCCCTAAATATTGTTTGTTCCGTTCGACATGGTCAAGGTCTATCCTCAATTCGATCAGTTTTAGCTGGTGTACCTCAGGGATCAATCCTAGCCCCACTACTGTACATCACATACACACATGGCATTCCTCAAAGTATGCACACTCTTACAGCAACCTACGCAGACGACACTGCTATCATTAACAGGCACGACAATCCTACAGAGGCATCACTTAACTTACAACATCACTTACAAATTATACTCGATTGGTGTAAACTTTGGAAATCTCAAATAAATTATCAAAAGTCACAGTACATCACATTTACTCTAAGACCAGAAACCTCCTGTATACATAGACAACATACCGATTCCACAAACAGACAGAGTACAATACCTAGGCCTTACATTCGATAGGAGAATGACATGGGGTCCACACGTGAAGAAAAAACGAATCACATTAAATCTAAGACTAAAATTGTTACATTCACTGTTAAGACGACATTCCAAATTACAAGCAAGACAGAAACTAAGTATTTACACATATCTTTTAAAACCTCTTTGGACTTACGGACTACAAATATATGGAATTGCAAAACCAACTCACATAAAAAAACTTCAAACTTTTCAGTCTAAGATACTACGACTAATCACTCAAGCACCGTACGTAAACAATCACACTTTACACACCGACTTACACGTTCCGACAGTCAATGAACACATACGAACGTACTACAAACGATTTCATAACATGTTAAACGGGCACTCCAACCAGCTGGTAAAAGAAATGGCCACAACTAGTATGCCCGAGAACTCCAGAAGACGACTGAAAAGGGTCTGGATGAGGAATCTGCTTAAATAATGTTTTAGTAAATAAAAGCTATGGAAGGGATACCGGTGGGTATTGCTATTCTTCATGCCTATCAAGCCTTTTTATTTATTATTTTTATTATTATTATTATTTCTCTCATTACTATGCCAGCACATCTGCTGATTGTCGATAATAATTGACAGGTGCGGATAAATATATGTAAGTGCAAAAAAAAAATATATATATATTGTTTGTTTGTTTTTTGGGGGTTTTAAGGCGCAAAACATCGAGGTCATCAACGACTCCAAATTAATTTTGTTAGCTCTGGATTAAATTTTTAATAAATTTTAATTTTTTTTTTTAAACAAAGCTTTTGATTTCAAGAAACCTAACACTAACTTGATCGTGATGGCCGAACATGTTACAGCGTAACTTCAGCATTCTCGAGTCTAGCGGCACCGGTTTGAATCAATCGGGCTGGGTGGGTTGAAATATATATTGAGATGGATTCACGAAATGAATCTCGACCTTTCCACTCTGGTACGAATACTTCCCCGCATGCCAGAAATGGCGATGTAGGGGTTATTGAAAAAACAAAATTAAATATGCTAGAAGTTATAGTGTCATATTATATTCTAGGCTAGGTTATAATATTTTGTTTTCAGTGCTGTATTTTTGTATTTCTGGTGACGAATCACTGCTGCTTTGATGAAGTTTTACAGCAATATTTATGTAATTCTAAAAATCCCTCCTCTCTCGATTTTCAGAAATACTGCCCATATTAATGTTAAAAACCAACAAATATTGTGTTCTAACTTTAAACTAACCTCGCCTGGGTAAACTCTCAACAACTAATGTTGGACATGTAGTAGAAACTTTAACATAGTTAGAAGGATAGGTCCCTCCCACAAAATATCTTGACATTCAGTTTAACGCTGAATTAGCATCCAATGTTCTAACAGCCAACCACCAATCTTCCTAAAGATGTTCAACTTCAGCCTCAATTTCGATTTTCACCAACTGTGTCTGGCCCTTTAAGTATCGATAAGAAACACCTGTGGGATTGGACGAGTAGGTCTTCTTCTTAGCTGTTATTTTTTATTATTGATGAAATAATAAATTGAATATAGAGAGAAAATACCTGCAATAGTTTTTTATCCCAGTGGTATATCCATGGTATCTGGCGCCCAAAACGGAATCGCAATTTTCTATTCCAAATGAACTTCCACATTTGTTCACCACAATACTTCTCTGTTGCACTATATTGGTCCTGAATATAATCAATCATCAATTAAAAATATTTTGATAAATTATTAATTTTTTTGGACATGACATACCGGACAAATTTACTAATCGCAATCATTATTTTGAAATCGAACATGATAAGGACCTTTGAAGATTTTTTTCTTGTGTTATTTTTTTTAATACATAGAATTCAGGAATACCACTAATTAGTGGTTTCCATGGTGAAGTTTTAGAAAAATCTATTAACAGCATATGTAAAATATATGTGTGTTAAAGCACAGTTTTGTGGTTTGTTACAATTATTCGTTTGAGCAAAACTGTACAAGTGTCACTCCAGTGTGATGAGTGAGTCAAGGTCCCACGATCATGCAATATATGGGATTCCGAGAATTAACGTATTCACTGAATAACCTCCCTTTATTAAGATCACGATTCATGACTTCGTTAAATTTCCAACTGGTCCTTTGCTGTTGAAACTGGGCGTTAATTAGCTTTATCTACATCTTTCGACACCCGCTTGTTACGCTAGTATCAAGTACAGTATAATATAGTAGACTAACGGGATAAACAACACCACAACGGATCCTTCCTAATTGATCGCCCTGGCCTTACCAGAAGATTCGGCCACTTCCGTCGTCTTTCGGAGACACTCGGCCATTCTCAGGATTCTATTTATCATGAAATCTTGTGCCACCTATCGAAGTGGAGTGACACTTGTACAGTAGTACCTTTGTTCCGTTCAGTGGTCTAATTCACATATAAAATACACTGATTTCCAAATGGCGTTTCTACCACGTAATTCGTGGATGTCTTTATTCGGGACTATTTTATGTGCTGTTGATATTTTTAGTTGAGATCCAACTTTGATCTGCTCTTGACAGCTTTCTGTAATTTAATGGGAGAAAGAAATTCCAAACAAATTGGTCTCAAATTAGGGGTGAACAATTCTTTGATAATTGCAATATTGACATACCGATGTGAGACTTTAACCGTGTCTTGCACCTAAAAAAAAAACTAAAAGGAAAGTCACACGCAAGATACAACAACTACAAAGTGCAACAACTACTTCCAGACCAATCAACTTAAATACCCTCCCCTCGTGACCCAACCCGTTCACTAATGTTAAAATTTAACCAACACATTAAAAACCTACTCAAGACAAAATAAATTAATCGTCCCACTTACTACAACCTCATATCCTACAACTCCTTATCACCCCGCTTAATCGACTACCGAAAATTCATATACATGGTAATCCCCTCCGCCGTATTATCTCCAATATAAACATCCCCTCATCTAAACTCTGCAAATTCCTTTTACCCACTCTCCAAAAACTTAGACTCAATAATCCTTATGACATCAATAATTCATTTCACCGCACAGAAGAGTTGTCTTCTCTCCATATTCCTGACAATTTTATCCTTGTTTTCCAATATGCCGAAAGCTTATTTACTAACATTCCAACAGACAAAGTCCTTCACATTGTACAGAAAAACTGGGCAATCATTGAACCTCTCACAACCCTCAACCTCCCCTATACCTTGAATCTCTTGATCTTTGTTACAGATCCGGATACCTCATTTTCCAAGGAAAATTCCTTAACCAGATTTCAGATCTAGCCATGGAAAATTCTTAACAGCATATATTTCCAATATTCTTCTTAATGACCTTCTAGACTCTGTTATCCCTTCTTTCTATCAAGCTTTTACATCTTATTCCCTTCCCCCCACCACTCCTCAACCAGGTCAGCAAATTTCACAAGGTACTCTACCCAAGTTTTCCTGTTTTAAGTGAAAATCCTCGCTGAACACACCTGCAAGTCTCTATTTTTATTATTTTATTCATTTATTTTTTGTTTTTCTTTTTTTTCTTCACATCCCTTTATGTCCATTATTTCATGTTAGTTTATCATTTCTTCCAATCTCTCCTTGAGGTCTGTAGAAGTATATTCATAATTGCATATATTATATTAAATATTATACTACAACAATTGTTACCAACTTTAGTTTAGGATCTTGTTACTTATCTTACTCTGTTTATGTAGCTTATTGTTCTTAATATTTACTTACTGTTTATAATTCCATAAGTTTATTTATCTTGTTTATAATAATAATGTAACTTCCACAATTCTCTATATCCTTTTGTATCTTGTCCATTCTAGCTCTAAAGAAGACCTGCAAAGTCGGGTCGAAACGTTGGCTTTTAATAAAAGAGTTTTGCCACTATTTTAGTCTATTTATAACCGTCATCCATATATATGTCAGTAGCATATATATATTTGTGTGTATGTACATACATACATACACTAGCGGATCCAGGATTTCATTTTGAGGGGGGAGGAAGGCTTCAGTCCGAAGCTATATGTTTTCATATATATAACGATAACTACTCTAAAAAAAAAGAAAGATACTAACTACATATATGAAATGGTGTTTATGTGATTCTTGAAGTCCTATTAAATGTAATTACACAAACAATAAAAAAAGAGATATTTTTTACCATAAAACATGGTTACATTTTATCATTTTGGAGGGGGAGGGGCTTCATCGTTCCATCAACTTTTCCACGGTTTTCACAATTTTGCAAAGCTAATGTTATTTCGATGAAATATTGAGATTCAGATTGAGATAATGTTTTGACAAAAAACATTATACACCTACAACAATATGAACAACTCGTATTTTTAACACCTAATACACTCAACCAAACATTGATAGAGAACTGATGTGCGACTTTCACGTTCATGACCCAAACAAGAAAATCAGTTTTTAAACATTTCTTTGCCAGCACAGGCTGATCTACCTAGGAAGGAGGGGGTTTCGGGCTAAAGCCTCCCCCAAAATGGTAAAATGTAATCCTGTTCGGAAAAACGTATAAGCTCTTTAAAGTATTATTGTTCGTGTAATTAATTACATATAATAGGACTTCAAGTATCTCTTAAACACTATTTCATATAGGTAGTTAGTTTCTTTTTTCCAAAAGTTATTATCGTTATATGTGAAAAAAAAGAACCTATCGGGCTGAAGCCTCCCCCAAAATTAAATCCTGGATCCGCTAGTGTTTGTTAGCACCACTTTTTATCAAAAATTTACCGCTGAGAAGTTCTTTTTTTTCGATTAAAAGTCAGATTTTTATTTTTCAGAATCATGATGTAATTTATTTTTAAAACTTTAGTTGGCTCCACTGACTTGACAACACTGACAGCATTCCAAGTTCAGTGTAGTGATGTACGTTTGATTGTTGTTTTCTTAATCTTTGTGAAGATGGCTTCTACGTTAGAAAGTTTGGAAACACAACTCGAAATGTTCATTGAGAATGTTCGGCAGATTCGTATTATTGTCAGTGACTTTCAACCACAGGGGCAAAATGTTCTAAACCAAAAAATGTATTTATTGACTTCTGAAATTTTATTTTTTTAAATTGTTTTATTAACTAAATTTTTATATAGTTTCAAATTTCAGACAGGCCTTAGTTACTGGTCTTCAAGAAGTAGACAAGCTTAGATCTCAAGTTCAAGATGTCCATGTACCTTTAGAAGTTTTTGAGTAAGTATTTTCTCTAATTTAATCTCAAATAGACATTTTGCCTAGCTTTTTCTATTGTCTAATCTTTGATTTTAGAAATTAACTGTGCTCTTTAAAGCATATTGTTGGAAAATGTAAATGACATGTCATTATGACAGGTCTGTCTTTGTTTATAGTTTTTAGCCAAATATGTATTTTTGTATTTGTTCATCATTGTTATTATGGGGGGAACTTGTCCCAGAATAAAGTTTCTTTTCTATTCTATTCTGTATGAATATGATTTATTGGTTCTCAGCTACTTTTGTCATTCCTCTCAATTCCGACTACAATTTGCTGTAAGTTGTCTTAAACCTACTCACTGTCTTTGAATACTCTTTTGATTTGTGATTTGAAATACTTATTAGAAAAATTAATACAAGCAATTTTTAATTAGATTTGATAACTTTAAAGAAATTGGAGAATTTTAGTTTTTTTAGTGTAAAAAATGTATGAGTAGATTGATAAAGTCACTTTACTTGATGTAATAAATGGTACTTTACTATTGTTGCTCAACTTTTATAAGTGGAAGATCTCACGATAATACTTAAATTTTAATTCTGAAATCGCCCGAAATGTTTTGTTCACAGTTTAACCATCCTTTATTTGTATGACGTTTTTTTACCTCTGCAAACTCCCAACTGGTTATTTCAGTTAAAATTAGAAGCTTTAATAGCTAATATGACATTGTTGCTTTCAACTCCAACTCCCTCAGAAAGGATAAAACAAAAGGGTTTGATATTTTATGTTATGTTACACCTTTGATGTTCTCTGCTTATAGTATAAAGGCTTTTACCATCTGTAAAGAAAAGTCATTATTGTTGTTATTGATAGTGAAGATGTTTTTTGTTTTTTTCTCTTTAAAAAGTATTCATAAGCATGGCCCAGAAAGTAATGTGCATAAGAAACCAAAAATTATGACATTCTAATTTATTTGTAAATTACAAACAGGTTTTTTTTTTTTTTTCAGCTATATCGACAATGGTAGAAACCCTCAATTGTACACCAAGGACTGCATTGAAAAAGCTTTAACTAAAAATGAGCAAGTTAAAGGAAAGATTGATTCCTACAGGAGATTTAAGTCTTATCTACTTGTTGAACTGAACAATGTTTTCCCTAATGAACTAGCTAAATATCGAGCTTTGCGTGGAGATGATCGACCAATATCTTAAACTATATATTTGTACATATTTTTATAAACTTATAATAAACTAAGTAAATTGTATTATTTTAGATCTGTCTAGGCCCTTGGTATTTTAATGTCATTAACGTTTCCTAGCATTGTATGGTCAGTTGTTTTATTTATCTGTTGTATATTTACCTATCTTGTTCCTATATGGCATAAAACTTATCTATTTACAAAATGTTAATTTAAAGCTAAATAATTTAATTCTTGAAGTCTGGTACATATGTAAATGTATTTAATAGATTGATATCTTCTCTCTTTCTTTTCTCTAATTTCAACTATTTCTTAATGTATTGATTTTATTCCTTGATAGATCATCTGTTGTTGATTAATTTCATTAGCATGTCTCCCATAACAGCTTTAATAAGATGTTTGTCTTGCTCTTACATTAATGGTTGCCTGTAGTGATCTGGTTCCACAAGTTGTTAACTTTGTTTTAAGTTATGTTTGGTCCAACTGCTGCACAGTTCTCATCCAGTAATAATCAGATTTAATTATTCTTAATTGTAGTGTTTTGATTTTTATAATATTCTAAATTTCCATCTCTTCACTATTTAAAAGAAATGCTTAAACATCCATTGGTTTCGTACATGATTCTCAAAAGACCCATATCCACTGTTTAAGTATTATGCTCCCTAATTAAATGTTATCTTAACGTAGAGGCTTTCAAATATAATTTTAATTACTGTTGTTAGATTTAACATATCAATTGAGAATGACGTTCTGTTACCTTTATGGGAGATGTACTAATGACAGGATACCAAATTCCTGTTTGATCAATCCTTTGAATATTTCCATGCAGTTAAATATTGTCAAAATTATATTTGTTTGTTCTATGTTTTATCTATTTAATATGATTAATAAAATGATGTAAATATTATGTACAAAAAGTGCCTGGAATTAGATACCTGATGAGACTTTATTAATACATGCTTAGAAACACAAAAGATGAGAATTATTTTTTATGAATTAATTTGGAACCAAAAGGAAAAATGATTTTACAGTATATAAAATTAAGTGAAAGTTCAGTGGCCAATAAAAGTATTCATACAGCATATTTGTTTGTCAAAACTTTTTATTTATATTTTCAACAAAAAGTAACTATTAATAACAATTAGAAATTTCATTTTTCATTGATTGTGAAAAAAGCAAAACTTAATAACTCATATTGTTTAAAAAATATCCAAATTTTAAGCGCAAAAAGAAAATTTCTATATTTAACTAATCCAAAGAAAATATAATAAATATCAATCTCAATTAATGTTAGTATTTTGTAACTTTCACGTTTATCACAATATTCTTGTCATCGATTCTTAGAGCCTTTTGTCCAATCTCTTCTCAAGATTGTTTATTAAGTCATTCCGAGGGGTACAAGAATATTTTCGGATTTCCAATTCCAGCAGAGCCATTAATTTTCAATCGGATTAAGATTTGATAATTGTGAAGGTGTTTATAGTGTTTTCCGATCAGTATATACAAACCATTCTTTGGTTTTATTGGCCGTGAGCTTGGCATCTTTGTCCTTCTGAAGCATATATGTGTCCTCCATATTCATCTTTCGCGCACTTTTATTTAAATTTCATTACAACACGTTCTATGTATTTGTCAATATTTATAATCCCATCAATAAAAGTTGGTTCACCAACTCCTCTGGCACTCTTATAGTTCTTAATGATGACACTGCCTCCTTGTGCTTCACTGTGGGTTGAATATTTTGGGGTTTAAATGCCTTTTCTTTTTCCAAACCTAAAAACTTTTTTTCCATTTATAATAGATTTTTTTCTTACCACTCTACCTCTAAAGCCTGCTTCATGTAGCCTCTATATGCCTAATGGTTTGGGTTACTAAAGATTTTCCATAAGATGACGCGATATGAACCAAAACCTCTCAGGCACTTAATTTGGGATTTTTTGCCACTGTATATAAAGTTTCACTAGATTCTCGCACTGTCAACAAACATTTTCTCTCTGAATGGGGTTTATTGTCCACTGATCCATTTTTGAAATTTTTTGTATAATGTAATACACTAGTATGAGGTAGAACTTTTCCCCAATATTCCGCTAACTTGAACCCTGTTGACAATGTCATCTTTAAAATGAGAACTCAATTCTTTGGTTTCCGAAGAAATATTCCTATGCACTGAACTGAACAAGCAATTTCTTGTGCAGTTTAGTCCATTAATTCTCAGGATTAAAAGATTATAAATAAAACATTAAAACACTGTTTTGATAAAAAAAAAAAAGTTGTATCATTCATACTTGCTCTAGTGTAGGAATACTTTTTTGTGTACAAATTATTGAAATATTGATGTTAAAAAAGTTTTATGAGATTTTAAATGTTGGCACTTCATATAATTAACATAAAATTAAGTTTGTAATTGATATCTGCAGTTATTTTAAGTTAAAAAAGTTATATGGAACCATTTTGGACAAAAAACGGGATGTTGGAATACTTTTTTTGCCCACTGTGTATTAAATACAAATTTAAAAACTTTAAATTACTGAATTTATTTGGTAGTTGACGAATAGATAATATGACTATGTATGGAATTAACTTAAGAAATAAAGTACAGAACTACTCCATAATTATAATACAAAGCAAGTTTATATTTAAAGAAAAAGAGATACTGGCTTTTCCAGAGTCACGGAGTGTTGGAGAAAATATTAAACATGGAATCTCCCCATCCAGGATCAGTAGTGGGTTTAGTATTTGTTTCTTTTTTTATTTATAATTACTCTGGAAGAAACTATATGAAATGATGGTTAAGAAAGTCAGTGAAGAACTTTTATGAATGGTAATTACCAGAGCAGTAATGCTATTAGACAATGAACTTTTATATATATTGTTTTCTTTACCAGTAATTACATTTGGTAACTTTATCTAATTCAAAGGATGACATAACAGCTGAAAGGAAACTAGGCTACTAATGTTGCTTGTTTCTATTTCATTTTTTATAAGATCGAAATGCAATTTAGTTTATGAACAAAATATGGCTGTCTTTCTTTCTAAAAGTATAATATAAACATAGGTTTTAGAATATTACTGTAGTCAGTAAACTCTTTTGATGGAAAAAAAATATTTAAAATTAATGCATAATCTAACTTACTCTGCATCTTAAAAAGAACTAACACTTTTTTTTGTAAATGATTGATTATATATATTTCTCGAGAAAAAAACTTACAGCTTCTACTAAGAAAGACCATTATGGCTGAGCATATTGAGGTAATTTTGAATTTTTCACTGTTACTAGAAAATGAAGGGAAGGATGGTTGGGAAGATCAGTGAAAAATAAAAATGGCAAAAATAAATATTATTATTTATTTTAACATTTGCCGACGTTTCGAAACGAAGTTCATGGATGATCGAAGAGATGGCTTGAATAGAGTGTTCAAGCAGTGTCCATTCTATTCTAGCAATCTCTTCGATCAGCCCTGATGAAGGTCTGAACTTGGGGTCGAAACGTCGGCAAATGTTAAAATGAATATTATTATTTGTTTTTGCCATTTTTATTTCTGACTGATCACCCCAAATATTCCTTCTCTTCATTATTCACGACAGTCGACCATCAGCCCACAAGTATTAATAGAAAAGATCGACGCCCCCAGGTTTTTGCCCCGCCTTAAGGCCGGCACTACCTAAAATGGATTCAACTTATCTTTTTATCCACAAAAATTCTCAGAAATATGGATTTTTCTAAATAAATTGATTAATTTAATGAGGTACTAAAACTCATAAATACCTAATTGATTTCCACTTGAATCGTAAGATAATTTCATCTACAAAAATATTGTCCCGTGTGGTTTATACAATATCGTTATTTTGGTATGTTGGGGATGGAGGTTATGCCAAATCATGGGCGGATCTACGGGGGAACTTTCCGGCTGAAGCAGATCCCCAAATGGTAAAACATAATCATGTTTTATCGAAAATAATATTAAAAAATTATCTCTTAAAGTATTATTGTTCGTGTAATTACATTTAAAAGGGCTTTAGGAATCACTTAAATACCATTTCTTGCAGGTAGTTAGTTTCTTTTTTTCCAAAGTAATCATCGTTATTTTTATGAAAAATAATCTTTCAGGCTGAAGCCCCTCCCCAAAAATTAAATCCTGGATCCGCTTGTGCGCCAAATAGCCCAATATTTTTGTAGACCACATTTTTTCGGATGAAAATATCTTATGATTGAAGTAGAAAGCAAATGTAATTTGATACTTTTTTAGTACCTAATCGTATAGACCATATTGACCATAGTACCGATTACCATATTGAGAAAACGCCCCAATTATGAGAACTTTGTAAATATAAAAGTTGTACGTTATAATGAGATGAAGCTATTAACGAAGTTTTAGGCGGAATATTAATAATTTGGTAAAAAGGGGCCTGTACCATGGACTATAATGTAATATTGCAGTTACGTGATTTACAAACATTGTTTTATTCACTAATGGCCTCTTTATATGGCTCTATGTTCGGACTATACTCTTCAAAAAGTGGGAATATATATCAGTCAAGTGGATTTTTTAAATTTATTATTATCTTTTAGATAGGAAAACTCGAGCACACTTGCATAGTTCATTTGTTGGAAGCTATTGATATTTTTCTTTGTTACTATTATTTTAGACGATATATTGACATAATGACCTGGAATTCTTTTTGGACATTCCTTTTTTGTACGCTTCTGTTTGGTTTGGTAAAGAACTTTAAGTTATTTTTATTATTTGTTTTTATTCAGATTGTCATCTAAAGGTATAGAGTCGTCAGACATGAAGCAAGGTATCTTCAATTGGCTGACGGTCATCATGAGCGTATCCACTATATTTTTTTTAATTTCCCGTTTGGTCAGTCACATTTTCTCTTTTTCCCCTCAAAACGAACTTCAAAATTCCTTCGCCCAAGTATATACAAAATAATGCATATTATCATAGTCACAAATCATAAATTACTCGTTTACGTCTATTTTACTAATATTATTTTTAAAAAATAGATTAAATTGTGTTCAGATAGCTTTTGATTGATAAATATTGTTTCCCTTTTTTCCCCTCTCAACCTGGGAATTTCCCTAAAAAGGGAACTTTTTTATCAAAGTGGAAACCCAAGTTCTTACTTATGAATGGGAAGGCGTGCTAGTCACTTATATAAAACTGTTAAACATTGAGCAATGAAAAACGATTCTCTTTTATCGAATAATTAACTGAAAATGAATTATAAATTTAATATATCTTATTTACACATTGATTGTTGTTTCGAAAAAAAAGTTCGTTGTTTTCAAACGTTATGAAACTCCTTGGTGTTATCTAATCAATAAATTCAAATAGTGTTATCAGTAGATTAAGATATTTAAATTAATTATTTTTTCTTCAAATTTACCGTTGAACCGTAAATATTGCAATAATCTTTTTTTCAAAGAATCGATTAGGTGATTACTTTGTATACTTGTATTAATACTATATATACTCCTCAAAGTTAAGTCTATGATTGTTTAAATTTTTATTACAACTCGTTAAACCGCTGTTTTGTCAAGGTGATTATTATTGAATACAAGTTTTTAGTTTTTCTTTTATTACATTATCAATTAAGTTATTTTATCAAATTAACTTTTACTGTTATTAGTTGTTTTATTTTATTCAGCTTTCATACATACATATGTTAAGTTTGTAGTGAGTAAATTAAATCTTAGGGTGTCTAATCAGTAGTCCAAATTCAATTTAACCTAGCATTTTTTTTTTCTACTATTTTTATTGATTTGAAAGTTTTCTTTTACTAATTTAAGGTTGGTAACCATTTTTTTCTTTAATGGTACTCGAGCATTTATCTAAATTGGTGTTTTAATTAGTACATAGATAAGTAGCTTGACTGTTGATGCCTAGTATTGATTAGAATATACAGTTTTAGGCTGGCTGAAGTTAAAGTTTCGGCTATAATTGGAGGAGTATGTCAAAACTGTCGATTTTAGACAAATTTGTAATGTAATGCCAACAAACAAGTTATACTAGTGAAAAACTTAACAATTTGGCTGTAAACAAAAGTAGTAGAAGAGGTTTGAAATTTTTACTGTTTAAATTATAGTTGGGGAACCTACTACTACTTATCTACTACTTCATTATCATGAAATGTGATAATGAAGGCCACAATAGTAACGAACATTTAGAGACCACAGCTATGTTACAAAGGCCACATGCAGTCTTGGGGCCACAGGTTCCTCACCTGTGGTTTAGATGTTATTAATAAGCAATCATATTTTACAAAATTCCAAGTGTCATATCTGGTTGAAATTTGACTCAATATTACACTGTTTAAGTAATCCTGAAAGTAGGAGAGTGTGCCTGAAACCATATGAAAGTTGCTGTCTACCATACTATTCTGAGATAGTGAAAAGTATTTGATGATTAATTAAAAAGGATATATTGGGAATTTGCTTATTACTTGAGCGAAAGTTGCTCCCACCTGTGAATATTTTTTTTAACTTTTGGCTACTTTAGAAATTCCATCTACAAGATGATTGGTGTGATCTTGTGCCACCTATCATCTAGATATGAGACTTGTGGACTAGTACTACTATTGTTCTGTTTCATTGTGTTATCATTTTGGCAGGATTTTATTAATGATTATTAAAACTTGCAAACTACAGCATTTTAACTGGCGAATTAAAAGAGTTGCTTAAAAATTATCAGTTTTATTTTGATGAGAAGATGTATATTTAAATCGTGATAGCTTAAAGAAGAGCTCAAATAATTTGAAAATTAGATACCAAGCAGACATAAAAAAGTTGGATTGAGACAGGAATAGAACAGTAGAAAATCTTCTGAATTTCTTTGACTTTTATTTATTTATTTACATCTGAAATTTCCCTAACTCTAAAAAATCGTTTCCATTTTTATAGTGAATCTATTTGAATTCAATAATATTATTTATCAGATGTATAAATCCGACATCCTCCCGCCCCTTGGCTTACTTCTGCTTTGAGAGTGTATGAGAGAAAGACATGCTGCAAGGCAAAGGTTTAAACAAACTCAACTTCATGAAGATTTTCTCTCCTTCAAACAGCACTCAATTAGCAGTAGACTGTGCCCAATCCCATTACACTATCATTTCTTATCCAACTCCCCTAATACCAAGGCCAAATGGGCTATTCTTAGAAAACTGACAATTGGTAATACACCTCAGTCCCAGTCCATATCAGTTTCTGCTGATAATCTCAACGCTCACTTTGTCTCCTGTCCTTTCTTAACCACATCTCTTGCATCCAGTACGGCTCCCATGTTTTCCTCTTTTGATCCTGATCACTTCTTTTTTTCCCACATTACCCCTGATGATCTCCTTAACTCTATTCAGAAGTCCCATATCAACTATTATGGTCCCGATAACATCCCAGTCAGAGAAAGCCGCATTGCCATTCATTCTTCTGATCCTTAATTATATCTATAATTATTCTTTTCAAAAGGCTACCTTTCCTACATCTTGGAAAACCGCCCTAGTACGCCCCTTGAAGAAGACCTCTAACACATCAGCTCTTAATGATTTCTGTCCAATTTCCCTTCTTTCAAACCTCTCCAAACCTTTAGAGCGACTAACCCAATCCCTGCTATTCTATTTTTTAGAGCACAATAATCTCCTAAATCCCTACCAGTCCGGTTTCAGGCCCGGCTATTCTACTGTCTGCCCTAATCAAAATTTCCCAAGTCCTTCATACATCCATAGATCAGCAGAAACTAACCATTCCTGTTCTCCTTGACTTCCCAAAGCTTTTGATTCAGTAGACCACAACATCCTCCTAACTAAATTTAAAAATATCTCCTTTTCTTCTAATGTCCTTAACTGATTTCAATCCTTCCTTATTGGTCGTTCCCTGTATGTTGTAATCCCTAATAGCCCCCATCAGAACCTCTGCCTTTGTCCAGAGGTGTCCCACAAGGCTCTTCCTCGTCCCCTACCCTTTTTTCCATCTATATAAATGACCTCTCATCCTCTATTCTTCACTGTCAATACCACCTCTAAGCCGATGACGTTCAGATTTACCTCTCCTTCAATCCAACCGATTCCTCAGATGATCCCATTCTAAAACTCCAAGACGATATTAATAGAATAAGTGCTTGGGCAAACCTCAACTGGCTTACTCTGCACGCCGAGAAGACAATAGCCATCTTGATCGGATTCCCCTCCAGTTCAACTATGGCTGTATGGTGTACGGTACACTCTCGGGAGATTTCGAGGCCAAACTTAAATACCTAATGAATTGCGCATCACGTTTTGTTATCGGAATCTCAAGAGATACTCATATAACCAGGTATTACACCGAGTTGAAGTGGCTCTATCCGTCTTATCGCCGTCAGTGCTTCCTAGCTACCTTTCTGTACCAGATCATTAGAACTAATCAACCTCCCCCCCTATATTTTTCACAGCTTACAATTTAAATACTCTAACCAATCCTGTCCCACTAAATCTCGTACTTCTGACCTCTATCCTCCTGCTTACTGAACTGCTGCGTTTGATAAATCATTTGCAATTCAAGCCGCCTTCCTCTGGAATTCCATTCCTGCTGATATTCGACACACACAATCAGTTTCCTTTTTCAAACCTCTCTTCTTTAAACACCTACTTCTTACTCAATCCAACTGATTACAAAATATTCCAAAGAGAGCTATCTAAGTACCCCCAGAAACTATTTCTGTTGTTTTAGTTTCTTTTGTTTGTCTTATACATATGTTCACTTTTCTTGTCTTTTTCTCTCTTCTGTATTTTTACTTTTAATTAACTATCATTGTAAATATTCTATTGTTTGTCTTATACGTATGTTCACTTTTCTTGTCTTTTTCTCTCTTTTGTATTTTTACTTTTAATTAACTATCATTGTAAATATTCAATTTATTTATGACACACATACATGTATTCTGTACTTATAATTTGTTCTAAAGGGAAAACAGTCCCAGAAATATATATAAAATATATTTTCATTTCATTTCATAATTTAGCGAGGACCTACTTTCATTTCATTTAAATAAATAGAGAGTTATTTTTGTTATAGTGAACACTTGTCTCTTTTTCTTGTTATCATTTCTCCGAGATCTTAACCGACTTATACCATTTGTTGTATTTTCAATCTAACCTCTAAATAAACTGACAATTATAATCTATTGTTCTAACTCTAAAACATCTTTTCCATTTTTATAATGAGTCTATTTGAATTAAATAATATTATTTGTCAAATGCATAGTTTGCCGATGACTTGCTTTCATTACATTTAAATAAATAGAGTTATTTTTGTTAGAATGAATACTTGTCTAATTTTCTATTTATCATTTCTCCAAGATCTTAACCGAATTTCAACATTTGTTGAATTTGTTATCTTCCTTCTTAATAAAATGACTGTTATATTAAAGTGTAAAAGAAATCTTTCTGTATAAAAATACTGGTGTACCGTCACTTTAAGTGATTGTTTTTGAATATTTTTTTTTTTTAAAGTAGCAAATTTTACATATTTTTTTATCAATTAAAAGTATATTTTACTAATTAATTTATTTCAATACATCCCAGGTCAAAGGAAAAAAAAAAAGAAGTGGTTTTTACTTATTTATTGTAATTATTTTATCTGAAAAGGTTGGTTGTTTATTTAAGATTTTACCTAAACAAAACAAACAATAAAATATAAATATTGCTACTGTTAATGCAAAAGAACATATGTAAAAATTGATTTTTTTTACAGAAGAGCATAAAAATTGATTATTTCTTTTATGATTTATTAGTATAATTTCACATTTTATTTTCTTATTTAGCAGCCTACTTATAGCAGTTGTTGACTACAAAATGTCACCTTTATCCCAAAGAGAATCAACATGTAAAATTGTTACATATGACCTTTTGCACAAACAATAGCGATATATTCTAAAATTATTTCAGTTTATGCACTGAGTAATGATTTACTTGTTTATGTTTTTAAAAATCTCACCACAAACAGATTAATTACTTTGTGGACCTAGCAAAGTTGGCTGAAAACATAGTCCTCAACTCATAGAAAATCATCCACCACCATGTGCATGGTTAAGATGAGAGGTTATTCATGAGGAGAGCATCTATATACTGCAACATTTTTAATTTATTTATTTATTGAAAATGTTTATTATATCTGTTTGAATTAAATTTTATTCATTTGTTTTTCTATATACGCTTTTTTTTTTGTTATTGTTTCTGTTGTATAATTTTTAAGATTTTAATACTTGTAGAATATAAGAGATATGTATAAAGAGAGAGAAAGGGAAATTGAATGTTAAAAAAAAAAATACATACATATCAGTTTTAATTTTTTATACAAGCCAGCATTACAGCTGCCCGAGATCCCCCCCTCGGGTATGTGAGACCCCTGTCAGCCTATGGGAGACAACTCATACCGACCGGGCATAGGACTGATGATGACCCTATCCCCGTGTACTTAGATTCGGGATGTGGTCTAGCCTCCCCCAGACCCCATCTCGGGGAAAAAGATCTTCATGGTCTGTAGCGCCAACCGAAAAAAAAAAAAAATATATATATATATATATACAACATAACTGTATATTTATATATGTTTTACTGATATCTCATAGCGAGTCAGTAGTAGGCTGTGTATTGATCAACCAAATATAATTAGGCAGCACTCTTTTATATGAAAATAAAGTGTTTCTCTGTCTGTAAGTAGTAAACTGTATTTTCTGTTTCAGACTATAAAAATGCTCTCACACAAGTTATACGTAAGAAGAAAACAACCTGACATTTTAATTATTGGTGGAGGTGCGGCAGGAGTGGCTGCAGCTCAACGACTTCATGAAAAAGGATTCACTAGAATAAAAATTATTGAAGCTGAGAATAGGCTTGGTGGACGTATTAGGACAATACCTTTTGGTAGATTTTATTGTTATTAAATTTTATCTTTAAATATATCTTTGTACATATTTAACAGTAATCTGTTTTAAAGGTGGTAATGACATTGATTTGGGTGCTCATTGGGTTCATGGTGAAGAGAAAAATGTGGTGAATGAAATGGCTGGACCAAAAGATCTTCTTGAACATTCTGGAGATTTCAATGAAGTAAATTATATTTTTTCTAATGAAACAGAACTGAATTCTGGTCTTGGAATGTTGTTATTTGAACAAGCTGCCAACCTTCTGGAAGACACAGATACCCTAAGCAAATCAGAAGGCTCTGTGTTGGACTACTTAAACAACAGGTATGTTTTAAATTTATAATAAAAGTTTGTTGTCTTGAGGAAATCTTTCTTGTAATTTCTGATTAACTGGTTCGATAGTGGTAATAGGTCCAAAAATGGGTCTGTTCTTTTTGAAAATAGTTACTTGGAGACTGCTACCTTTTTCCGACCAGATTAGTGCATAATGCCAAAAGGCACTACTTTATTACTTGCACTGGGTATCAGAATTTAGAAGGCAGCAAGTTTCAAGCAAAATTATTTTTTAGCTTAAAAAAAGTGAAAGAAGAGGTGGCAAAATTAACCTTGTCTCTCCTAGTAAAAATCCTAGTTGTAGTCCTGATTTACACACCATTTGGTCATCTCACATATTCTGATGAGATATGCTGGACTCCGGTCACTCACGTAGAGAATATGGAAGTTTTAATTTTTACCTTTGTGTTTTATAATTTTTAAATTTATGCTTTAATTTTTAATATATGTCTGTGTTTGTTTAACATTTAATTTATTTTTATGTTAACATGTAAAACAAAAAAAAAAAATTAACTTTCTCATAGGGCTAAACCAATTTTATTTCAAGCTCTGCCAAGTGAGGCTAAGTTGGAAGCATTTTTTAATTGGCTTGTAAATTTTGAGTGCTCTGTTGAGGGCTGTGATTTTCTTGACGAAGCCTCTGCCAAAGGTTTGGCTCATTACAAGCAATGCTCTGGTGACCTTCTACTGAACTGGAAAAAAGGAGGTTATTACAGCATTATTGAAATGTTACTAGTGAGTAAACATTTAATTTTAAAAGTGTTTTTTGAGCTTCTTTTAAGTAAAATAAGAAGTAAAAAGTTGTTTTCAATAATTTATATTTAAATAATACCAGCTATACCCTGCGGTTTCGGTCATATTAAATTTGATTTTAAATTATTCATTAACACTACAGTACTTCAATATCAACAATATCCTTAGTTCTTTCACTCTTTGATATAGGTATAAATAGATTTCCTTTGCAACCTGAGCTAGGTAATGCAACTTATGTTCATGAGAAAAATAGACTTTTCTTGCTTCCTGGTTGAGCCCAATGTACTTAAAAGTTTGTTTCTGTGCTTTTATTATGATGACTGCAATTGATTTTTACATAAAGTTGTACTGGCATAATTGGTTACAATTTTTCATATTGGTTAAAATTTATTATTAGTTTTTGTAGGCCATTTTGTGATTTTATTAAGCATGAAGTCATCGTCATCTATATATATAATCTATATATATATAAATGAATGTATGTCTGTCTGTTTGTCCTTAGTGCATTACTAAACCATTCAACCGATCGCCATGAAACTTTGGGAAGTTGTTCTGTACACTCCTGGGAAGGTTTCTGGTATAGTACTTCTGTGTTACGATAATTTCATATATGTAAAAAAAATAAAAATGTAAATGTTTTTCTGTTCAAGCCGAAAAAAAATGTGTTGCTATAAACTGTAGCGCCAAAATGGCTTTACCGATTTTAACGAAACTTGGCTAAATTCTTCCCCTTGAAACCCTTCTAATTTATATGTATAACATATTTTCCCAAAAACAAGCTGAAAAATGTTACGATGAATTCAATATTCTATTTGCCTATAACTAAAAAAGTACACAATTTTTGACTGATAATACCCACATTTATTTGAAAGATTCCTGATTTGCCAACAAAATAAAAGAGATGTCATCAAAATAGATAAGCATTATCTCCGAAATAATGATATTTCTAGAAGCCGTAGGAGTAAAGGGGGCTAAATTATTTTTTTAAGGAAAAACAAAGTTGAGATTTGTATTTCGCACCCTCAATAAACCCTCAAATACCAATTTTCACTGGAATCGAAAAATATATTTTTTTGGCTCAACTTTTCGTCGAGGGTGGGTGATTCAGTTTTATTCAACCTTCAATTTTATTTCGGAAACTACAAACAGTGTGATAACTTAATAATGGCTCCACCTATAAACACGAAAATGATCAGTGGTTTGGGGCCACATAAACTGCACAAATTGCAACAAACCGTACCCCCGCAAGCATATTAGAAGTGGAGATAAAAAATTAAAACTGATAATACCCATATTTATATGAAATATTGCTGAATTGCTGACAAAATAAAAAAACAATCATCCAAATCGGACAGTTCGTTGCACACTTATAGAGTTTTAAACATTTACTGCTTTCTCTTCAGAAAAAGCCGTTTCCTTTTGCTTCTTCACTACTGAAGGTCAGCAAGCATTTTTTTTTTTTTTTTGATTAATCGAAAATTTTATAATTACTGCAGTAATTGAAATTATCATTTGAAGAAGTTATATGATTCTCCTTATGTACGTCAATATTATTATACATTTTTTTTATTAATTTTTTAATTTAGTTTTATAAGTTCAACTCAAACTGTTTCTGATGATTATGAATGACGGCATATTCACTCAGATGGTTATGAATGTTCAATTTGAATCATGAGAAAAAAAATCATTAGAATTGATTTAAATTGAAGCCATTTTACAGACAAATTTGTTTCCCAACTTTTTAAAAATGGCAGATGTCCTTTGCTACTAATCTACTCATATGTGCTTTCTATTTTCTTTCTTTTTCATTTTGCCAGGCTAAGCCACAGCAGCGCGTGTCCGGGTAAAGCTAGTTCTCAATAAACTCATAAAACAGTTTTCCAATCTGACTATTTGTACCTGAAATTAGTGCATTCTAACAATGAAATTCTTCATCTTTACACATTATTGTAGAAAACAGAAACACTTTTAATCTTTAGATTGAAAATCTATTTGATTAAAAAAAATCTCAGAATTCATATTTGAAAATTCTTTTCCAAAAGATTTATTCTTATAAAAAAGATTTAGACTTTTCTTAGCTTTTCATTTTTTTATTCTTTAGAATCTTTAATGGTTTGGTTTAAAAGTGTCAGTTTTAATTTTAATTTATTGATTAGATAATTATGATTAAAAAATATATATATCATTTCATTTCATTTGTAAACAAAAAACAATTATTTTTATATCTCTAATTGAGGTTTTTTTCTTTTATAACAACAATTCAGTAATTTATTCTATGAAAAAGTATTATCTATTTATTTTTATTATTTATTATTGTCTTTGTTATAGTACATCCCTCTTTGAATATATAAAATAAGATATGACGTGATCACTAAAAACTATATAATAGATTTAATTTGAATTTTTTGCAGAATCAATTTCACAAAGATAGTTTAGCTTCTACAATTGAAGAAAGTATTATATTAAATTGTGAGGTATCAAAGTTGGACTGGACAGGGATGGGGGTTTTAGCTAAATGTAGTAATGGAAAAGTATATTATGGTGACCATGCAATAGTTACAGTATCGCTGGGTGTTCTTAAAGAAAGAAGCAAAGCCCTTTTTGATCCACCCCTCCCTGATTATAAAAGGAAAGTGATAGCCGTAAGTACTCCAGTTTGTTATTAAAGATTTAACTATTAAGGTTATTCTAAGGTTTTGTTCATGCTCCAGTCATGTATCATCTATATATATATATATATATATATATATATATATATATATATATATATATTAGTACATATATATATAGGATACTACTATATATTTGAACGTTTAATTTTTTTTTTGTCACATATTTAATCTGAAGTATCTGGGTATGTATATATTGCTTTTAGTATATTTGTTCTGTGTTTTCGTAATTAGTTGATATTATAAACCTGTCAGGTGGTATTCCAATTATCGGTCAATATTGTATTTCAGTGAAACATATTATTTTTTATTAGAAATTAAATTATTCCAGTCTATTTTCTATTGGAATGGAAAAATAATATAAAAGTTGAGGTGCTTTAAAACAGCATAGATGCATTAAACGTAAAAGAAGAACATAACCAACATTTTTAATTTTTAAAGCAAATAAAATGTATTAAAACTAAAATGTTTTTTTAATTGTAGGTTGATGGTTGACTGTAGTGAATAATTGAAGAGAAGTATGATTGGGGTGAACAGTCAAAATAAAAAATAGCAAAAATAAATAATAATATTTGTTACTAGTTGTACACGGCTACGCATTGCTGTGGCTCATTCTGGTTAAATAAAAAAATAAGTAAAGAAATTAGATGTGTCTAATATATTTTATGTAACAATACTTGTGAATATGCGATCTTCTTTATTGTTCCATTCTTTCTGTAGGTATAGAGATTGTCTGGTTTTCCAACTCTAGAATTTACAACATATAATTGTCTATATAAGAAGTAATAGGTCTCTAAATCTCCCACAAAAAATTACTAAATGTTTAAAGCATTATATCTCTGCACCAAATTGTCCAATTTTATTGATTTTTTTTTTATTTGCAGGGAATCAAAGAAGCTTTCAAACAATAATTTGTGTACTTTTTGAGTTATTTGCAAATGTAGTTTTGAACCCATCGTAACTTTTTTTTATACACTTTTCGGAGAAGGATGTTATGTGCATAAATTAACAGGGAGAAGACTTTAGCCAAGTTTAATTAAAATCCTTACAGCTATTGCTACAGTCTATAGCGACACAGGTTTTTGGAACACCATTCCAAAACGAAAAACCGGAGGGTGATTAAATGTATATAAAAACACTCCTGAATGCGATAGAAACAATATGTCAATATTTCAAAGGGATTGGTGAAGAAATTTCAGAGATTAGAGGTTTTGAACAAACGAACATTTACGTTTTTATTAATATAGATAAAAAATAAATATTATTATTTTGACTGATCACCCAACCATCCTTCTGTTCAATTTTTTTTTTTTTTTTAATTTACGAATTTTTACATTGACATAAATTTTTGACAAAGGCTTTAACATGTTAAATTCAAAAATGAAGTTTTCATATATTATGGGTCCTAAAGACCACTTTTATCGATTCCTGTTCATGATGTATCATAAATAGATTCCAAATGATCTTGACAAATTTACTATCACTCTGGATTTGAAAAATGCTGAAAGGCTTCCCGTTAGTCATTTATTCTGAAAAATTACTGGATACTGCCAGGTAGAAAAATTTATTTGAAGAAAAACGTTTTTTTTTTTTTTTTTTTTCTAAAGTTTGCTGAACCACACTTATGCCTTTTTCAGAAAACGTCAATATTATATGGAATAATAGGATAGTAGAAAAATAATTTTATTCTGGGACAATGTCCTTTGAGAATAACAGCAGTTACAGCAAAATAGAATGTATTTCTAGCCAGAAGACTAAAAGATAATGGAATAATAATATGGAAAAGAAATATATTGGCCTCAACAATATTGTTAGGTATAATTTAGTTTATTTAATTACTCATATTTTTTTTTCAGGGTTTGGGCATTGGCACTGTCAACAAAATTTACTTACAGTTTCCATACACTTGGTGGCCCAAAAATTCTTCTGGTTTTAGTCTTCTCTGGCTTCCAGAGCAAAAGGTGTTGCGAGAAGTATGTATGAATGACATTTTAAATGATTATATTTTTTAATACATTTTTCATCCTGTCTAAACATCTACTTCAATTATCAGAGTAAAATGTCTCTTATAATATGCTCATTATTTTCTGATTGTTCTTATTTATAAGAAAAATAGAGAGAGACTAAGAAATAGTAATATAGACACCTTTACACATTTAATACTCAATGTCAAATTAATTTAATACGAAGATAAGCAATAAGAAAAATAAAATATGAAAATATAAAAAGGAATATTTCTAAACTAAATTTTTATTGAAATATGTTAAAAAGAATTAATCAAACTAATACAAAACTAAAATGCAAAAATATTGAGCCTGGATAATCCATATTGTAGCATAATGAAAGTACATACGTAAATGAACATAGTTAATTGTAGCCAATGTTGATAAGTATAGACGTTTGTAGATAAGCATGGATACAAAAAGTATTTAAGAACTTTGCGCAGTACTGGTACTGATAAAGAGGAAGGGAATGAATCTGGCAAATGGGCCGGTCCCTTTTGCCAACTCCAAATAAGATTAAGTACACCATCGAGTCTATCTTTCCTTCATCTTGAACCTTTTGGTTTTCCTAATGACAATCCTACCACACTTGATGTAAATGATACGTTACATGGCAATTTGCTTAAAATGAAAATTGCATTAATTCCAGTTTCCTATCTTTTTATTCTTCCGCACTTAATTAGCTAAATTGCTTTAATTTTGTTTTTAACCAATGTTCTGAAATTTAACACGTGGTTAGCCATTTTCTGCCTGGTTTATTGGAATAAGTAGGTTTTAAAGTTGGAAAAGGAGAGAGCGTGTCGGATTTTTAAAGGGAGAGAATTCCAGAGATTAGAGAACCTGTAACTAAGGAATTTTGGAAAGAGGCAGTTCTGTGAAATGGGGTATAAAGATCAGAAGGTCGGGATCTTGTGATAAGAGAGTGGACAGAGGACTTGAATTGGAGAAGATCATGAGTATTGGAGGGACTTTAATTGTTGATAATCTGATAAAGAAATGTGCCTAGAAAATATTGTGTACGGAAGGAAGAGAAAAGCTCAGCACTCAGCCACAAACTCAGCGTAATGGTGGGAGACATGGGAACATCTCGGAGTCCCACTGACAAATTTGTCAAAGCTGTTCATGAGTCTCGTCAATCTGTCACCGAGAGGCCATCGTACACCACACAGCTGTAGTCAAAGTGGGGGAAGAAACTAAGAGTCTGCGGGTAGTTTCAGGTAGGAGATGGCGGAAGCGATGGAATAATTTGAGAGTGGAAAGTGAATGTCAAGCGATGTGGGAAATGTGGTAGTTCCAGGAAAAGGTTTGATCAATGAAAAAGCCTAAGTTTTTAACAGAGAAGTATAAGTTAATATGTAGGTAGGTCATTTAGGTATAGTGTGGGAAAGTAGGAATTGGACCGGAGAAGGGCTTGGAATCAATGACAATGGCCTGAGTTTTTGCCTTAATTCGTTTAAGCATGCTCAGGAACTTATTCGATCTAGGTCTTCTTGAATCTTAGCAAATGATACAAATAACTCAGAGGGAGAGAATAATAATAGAAGAATCGTCGCCATAAAGTTAATAGGAACAATTAAGGATTGATTTATGAAGATCGTTCATGTAAGCATTAAGAATAAGTGGAGAAATGCTAGAACCCTGAGCAACTCCTGTGGATAGAGAAAGATAGGAAGAAAGCCGTTGATTAGGGAGGGAAACTGCTTGGGAATGTTGAGATAGAAAAGATAAAAACTAAGATAAGAAGTATTGAAGAAGAATAATGATTTTAATTTTGGATTCTTCAAGAAAGTTGCTGATTTGGGATTGCACTATTCTTTCCAGAGGTTAGAAAGGATTGGAACTGGAAAAAAAATCTGCAGAAGAGGATGAATTTGACTTTTTATTTAAAGGAAGGACAATGAATATTTTACAAGAGGTAGGGGAGACATAATTTTTTTAATTTGACAGGAATGCCATCTGGACCTGTGGAATTGGTATGGGATTTCATTACAGCGGATAAAAGGTCTGTGGGAGAAATGCAGGAAAAGTAAAATTCATCATTGTTCAATGATGTCCCTGGAGAGTAACCGGAGGGGGAAGCCAGGAAGAGGTCAGGTAGTATCTTTTCATGGGTGAGATCCTCCAGATGGCGGAAAGATAGGGTTCTAGACTTAATCAGAGGAGTTTGGATATTATAGGATATTTGAATCAGGTCGTGAGATGATGAATAGATACTGGCAGTTGAGAGGAGAAGAGAAGATTCTGAGGGGAGTCGATAATGAAGAGGTCTAACCAAGTGTCGGACCTACAGGTTTTTTATACATACATAAAAACAAAAATTGTTTATACTATGGTTGTTGTAGAATAATATTTTTTGTATTTTGGTTTTTTTATATATTATACTTTGTAACAGATCCAACTTGGTAGCTTATTAACAATTTGTATTTCCTGTCCAAAATGCAATCCTTAGATCCAAGAAAGGATTCAATTATTATTCTGATTCCTCTTTGTAATTTTCAGGGAGAATTTCCATGGGAACTTGAAATTATAGGTTTTTATACTGAAAAAAGAGCCATTAACACATTGTCAGTTTGGTTGATTGGTAAAGCAGCTAAAGATATGGAATGTTGTACTGAAGAGCAGGTCAAGGCTGCGTGCTATAGGGTTCTAAAAAGATTTTTAAGTTTTAAATATACAATACCTGAGCCAATAGATGTTGTGAGGTAAACATTTCAAGTTATGTTATCATAAAATCCTTTGTACATAAAAAGTTATAAAATGATATTGTTCATAATTTAGAGTTTAGTATTATTTATGTTTTACTAGATCATTATTAAAGTCATGCATGAGGATATTAAGGACTTAGAGGTCCTTCTTCTTATTTTGGTCATGGAAACAACTGTCATAGTTCAGTAACTGATTATTACAACCCGCACATAAGAATTTGGCAGTGGGGTGATTGATTATAAGTGAGGGAATTGTTCAGCATTTTATCTTCTCTGTAATGGGCTATTATTCAAAATTGTATCTTAACGTGACGTCGTTTTCGAGAGGTGAAAAAGAAAAAATAGTGTTAAAACCAAATGATAACGAGTTTTATGGAAGATATGGATTAATGGATCCTAAAGATCTGATCTGCATACTGTAAGTGAGAGAAATGTTCATCATTTCATCCTCTGTATAATGAGCTATTATTTATTATTTATATTTCATATTATTAATAAGAAATTTGACAAAATACCAGTGTAATATTTTGCAAAATTAACGTTAGAATAAATTTTTTTAGGAGTACTTGGTATTCTAATCCTCATTTTCGAGGTTCCTACAGCTTCAGAAGTGTCAATTCTGAAGGTTTGGGAGTTACTGCTGCTGATTTGGCTAAACCTTTGAAAAATCATTTTGGGAAAGAGGTAAATCTTGTTTAAAATAAAATTAAATTTCAACTACACATTCTGAATTTTTTACTAACACTTTTCTTCTATTCTATCTGTATTATTTTATGATTGCTGTTCCCCCTCATTTTTGGCTATCACAAGTTCTGAGGACTGGTTCCCCTTAGCTTGCCAATGCAAGGTCCAGTAGCTGTTTCCTACTGCTTGCCTTAACCTTTACTTTTGCAACATCTGTTGACAGGTTTTCTACAGATTGTAGTAACATCCATAGGCTGTTTCTTTATGGTTATTCACCTCTCCTTCACTCTTGTTCCTCCTTTACGAATTATGACAACAATTAGTATCGAGACCTTTTGGAGAATATAGTTTCCAACTAAATACTAACTTTGATTTTACAAAATCAATTTAATAGTCTTGATGGTTATTCTTATCCTTTTCCTAGTGAATTTAAATTATAATTTTTTTATTAGGTGCTATTGTTTGCTGGTGAAGCAACCCATAGCTCTTATTATTCTGCAGTGCATGGTGCTGTTGAGTCAGGCTGGAGGGAAGCTGATCGGCTGACAGAAATGTATCATTTTGATAAACTAAATGAGTAAGTTTTTGAATTCTGTAGATTTTTTTAAATTATATCTTTATTTAAATTTAGTTCTAGTGAAATCAGTAATGCTGTAGACAGACATTTATAATGCTTATTAATTAATTAAATTGAAAAATTGAATGATTTTGGTTTTACAGGGAGCTAAATTTGGCTTTTGCTATTTTTATTTTATAGGTCATTTATATCTTGGAATATTAATAGACTTGAAACTGATTTTGAGTTTATTTTTAAAAATAAATAAGTATAATGAATCTTACTGATAATTTAAATAAGCCAATATGGATCAAACACTTTCATTCATTTGAGAAGTTGGTCAGGGTACCAACTTCTTCCCAAATTATAATTACGGTCAACCATCTCTAAACCATTATTTTTCATTCATGATCGAATTGCAGTTTAGTCAATTAAATTTTGTTCTGAAAATTGTTGGTATATTCAATTTAATTAAATTTAGCAGTTTCCTTTCCTCTGTAAGACAACGCATTACTTCCCAGCCCAAATAATGAAACAAATAAAAAATGGTAGTTTTGTTAACAAAAAATTTATTGATTGAAATGGTTATCAATTTTCCACTGTTATGAATTTGAACAATTTCAGTTAAAAAAAAAACAGTATTAAAAACTTATTACCAAGTCAAATTTACTCCCATTTAATTAAACTAATTTGTTCAATAAACCATGTTTGTAGTACACCATTATTATAATTTCATAAGTTATGTTTATTTTTCTAAGATTCTTTTTTTATTTTTATAGGATAGGAAAATCTAACCTCTAAAAAAACTTCAATGGAGTTCGTCCTTTTCATTCATTAACTGCTCAGCTGTGTTTTATTATTTGAAAGTTTGTGTTGGTTTTTAAAATTGTAAATTATATTTTTATTAAAACAGAAGTGATAAAATGTCGGATTCTGTAGTTTTTATTTTCCATAAATCTATTGAAGCTCAGATGTTTTAATTATCTGAATGGAGGCATTTAATAGTTCCTATAAATTACCTTTGCCGAAATATTGACTTTTTTTCTTATAAATTGGTAATACATGTTAAGCTTATTAAAATCACTCCCATAAGAATAGAGGATGGTTGAGGAAAGAATTCCAGAATGCCCGATTCTCAATGTTGCGGATTCTACTTCCACCTGGGTTAGTTAATATTTATTTTTTGGTGGTCTTTAGCAACGAATCTTAACACTACCACTGTGGTTGGTATGTGATGGATGCCACTAGATATCCCACAAAGTTTAATTTTAACTATCTACTTTTAAATATTACTAAATTATTATTTTAATATTATTGTTATGCTATCAATGTTCAAAACTGCAGATATATTTTAACTTCTTAAATGCAACCACTTAGGGCCAGTTGTTCCAAACCAGTAAAGCTTAGATTGAGCTTAATCTAAGATTAGAATAAGTTTCACCTGTCGTTCTAACGAAGCTTAGCTTTGCAATGAAGTTCAATTTTGATCGGCCGACCGTGGGCGCTTAAGCTTTACTTCGAAAATTAAACTCAGATACCTAAGGTTACTCTTGACAACTATAGTAATCTTCCTGGGTGTTTTGTTATATCTCGTTTGTGTTAACTATTTTTAATTATCTTTTCTCTTGAAAAAATGGATACGGTAGATTTTGACGACCTCACAGATGACGAGGATTTCCTGGATTTAATTGCATTTTCACTATTGTAATTGCACAAAAAGAATATTGTTTTTGGATGAATCATTTTCACCACCGGTCTAATAAATTTTTTGATAGATTTCGGCTTTCCAAACCAAATGTTCTATTTATTTTGAAATTAAATGAAAATATATTTTATTATTCTGGGACTGTTGTCCCTTTAGAAAAAATTATAAGAACAGAATACATGTAGATGTGGTCATAAATAAATTAAATATTTACAATAATAGTTAATTAAAAGTAAAAATACAGAAGAAGAGATAAAAAACGACAAGAAAAGTGTACATATATATATATAAGACAAACAAAAGAAACCAAAATAACAGAAATAGTCTCTGGGGATACTTAGATAGTATTCTTAGGTATATTTCGTTATCAGTCGGATTGAGAAAGGAGTGGGTGTTGAAAGAGGAAACTGATTGTGCTTGTCGAATATCAGCAGGGATGGAATTCCAGAGGGAGACATCTTGAATTGCAAATGATTTGTCAAACTTAGCAGTTCAGTGAGGAGGAGGATAGAGTTCAAAAGTACAAGATCTAGTGGAGTATTTAAATTGTAAGCTGTGAAAAATATAGGAGGGTCGATAAGTTCTAATTATCTGGTACAGTAAGGTACCTAGGAAGTACTAAAGGGGATAGGATGGATAGAGCCACTTCAACTCTATGTAATATGCTTAACTTGAGATTCCAAAAACAAAACAATGTGCAATTCATTAGGCATTTAAGTTCAGTCTCAAAATCTCCCGATAGTCTACCGTTCACTAAACAGCCATAGTCGAAGTGGGGGAAAACAAGAGAAGAAACTAGGAGTTGATGGGACTTAAATGGAAGAAGATAACTTGAGACAATTGAACTGTTTTAGGGTGAAGATAGTGCGACAGGAAATTTAGGAGATGTTTGGTTTCCAGGAGAGGTTTTGATCAAAAATAACACCTAGGTTTTTAACGGTAGTGGAATAAGATAGATGAATTGTTCAGGAGAAGATTGGGGAATACTGGGAAGGATTTGAGGAGTGTGGGGAATCCGATCAAGATGGCTTTCGTCTTCTTGGCGCCCAGAGTGAGCCTGTTGAGGTTTGCCCAAGCACTTATTCTATTAATATCTTCTTGGAGTTTTGAAGGTGAGGTAAATTTGAACATTGTCGACATACAGGTGATATTGATAGTGCAGGATTGAAGATGGGAGGTCATTTATATAGATAGAAAAAAGGGTGAGGGATATAAGGAAGAGCCTTGTGGAACACATCTGAACAAGGGTAGAGATTCTGATGGGAGCTATTAGAGATTACAACATACTGGGAGCGATCAGTAAGGAAGGATTAGAACCAATTAAGGGCACTAGAAGAAAAGGAGATATTTTTAAGATTGGTTAGGAGGATGTGGTCTACTGAATCAAAAGCTTTGGAGAAGTCAAGGAGAATAAGGATGGTTAGTTTCTGCTGATCTATGGCTGTATGAAGGTCTTGAGAAATTTCGATTAGGGCAGGCTGAGTAGAATAGCCGGCCTGAAACCGGACTGGTAGGGGTTTAGATTATTGTGCTCTGAAAAATGGAATAGCAGAGATTGGGTTAGTCGCTCTAAAGGTTTGGAGAGGTTTGAAAGAAGGGAAATTGGATGGAAATCATTAAGAACTGGTGGGTTATTTTGGAGTATATAAAAGCAGCTATTTCAAATCCTACTGAGAAAAACCATGGAGTTCCTGAGCTGATGCTATTGACCACATTGAGGTATGTACATTGATTTAATCATCTAAAGGTGTATTTCGACGTTTTACAAACTATGGGCAAACATATATATAAATGGTTATTTCACTTTCACTATACTAGTATTTGTATATATTTTCCATGTTTTGTAGGTATCAAGAGAAATAAAATAAATTGTTTGGTTTAGCAATAATGTAGATGTTAGTTAAGTTAGATGATTGTGTTTCACATAGTTGGTGAAATGTATAAATGCACCGTAACATATTTTTCATTCTCTCATGCTTAGCTAAGTTAAAGGAAATACAGGATTCTCTTTTTGGAACTTGGAATTGATCATACTTGTAACAGCCACAGTTATTAACAATAAATTATGCCAACATTCCATCTTTGATCTATGTTTCTTATCTTCATATTGTTTTATTTAATTATTACTAAAATTAAGTATTGTAACAATACCTCATCAATATTGTCTGTGGCTTTTCTTTCAGATTTTATGCAACAGTGTTGTTCTTAAATGTTTGTGGAGACTTCAGTGTGTACTGCACACATATCTGAAAACAATCTCCTGGTATGAACTGCAAGAATTTAGCATTTAACCATTTATAACTAGATTATTTGAGGAGTTGGGAGGAGAAGGGGGGTGCGGTCAATATACAACATATATTATAATAATATTTTATTGGATTTGCAGATTTTCGACCTACATCGTATATATCGCTACATATGATACAAACTATAAATATTAATTGGTATAAGGTAAAAAAATAAATAAATGAATTATCAGTAGATGTTAAATTAGTACAGGTTACGAGATAAAAAGAAATTAAAAAACGTATTTATCCATATTCATGAGAGACAAAATGAATGTTTCTAGTCGTAAAACGTATCTTCAAATTAAGGAAACATGTTGATTGCTTAAATTATTTTCATGAAAACATCAATATTAGGATCAGAAATATTTACTTTGTCCCTTGTTAACATGAACTTTTTTGTAGTTCTTGAGATCTGTTATCACTTCTACAAAAATTTTCATCTTCTTATGGGACACTCTGCATAATGGACTATAAAAAATAAAAGTGAATTTAACTTAAAATTTACGTGATATTCACTTTCATTCAATGTTTTCATCATTAGATTTATAAGTAATCCATCAGATATATAATAATACATTGTATTATACTGGTATACCTTTTTAGCTATAATGTAGGTCAAAACATAGGCAAATCCAATAAAATGCTATTATAATACATAGTATTATATATTGATCACATCCCCGATGAACTCCTCAAATTATGAACACAGTCAACCATTTCTACATCATTGTAACTACATTACTTTTTTCATATAATACTGCTTAATCACATAATAATTATGTCAAGATTCCCAATAATACCTCCATAAAATAATTTTTGTTTTATACTCTATAGGTGGTGACAAGACAGAGATTTTCCGTAATCGGGAAGGATTTTTTTCCTTGAAAGTTAAAACAATCAGTGAGGCTGATTTAAAAATAAGAAACATTGTTGTTCGGTGGCCAGGAAGCACACAATGCAACAATATTTTGCAATTCAAATATGGAAGCTAGATTTGATTCAGGAGAATGTGGAGACAATGTTCTCATAGGTGATAGAGGATACCCTCTAAAAAATTACCTTCTAACGCCATCAACATAATTTCAAAACATTATTATTATTACTCTTTTCAATTTCACCTTCTTTCTAATATTTCCAAAAAATACTAATATAATTAAGTTGAATTCTGGTTTTATATTTATAATAGATTATGAATAGTTTCTTCATGTATACTCCTTAGTGAAGTGTGCACAGCATATTTTGCTAGTTTTAACATTTATATAAGAATTGTCATTGGTGTCTGAAAATTGGGGCATCTATTGTAATTTTTATGATACATTGTACTGCTTGTAATTTTAGAGGACATTCCTAGACAGATAGTTATGTTTAGGAAAAGAAGAAAATAAGAATTTGAAAATATGTTTATTAGTAATTAATAACAAAACATAATATCTATTATTTACAAATTATTCAACATTATTAATAATTAATAAAATATTTAATTTAACAAACTCATGATACTAATTCTTAACAAGCAGGATATAAATAAAATATGTACTGTCATATAAAAATAAAATGAAAATTTTTTACAAATGTTAACAGTTCCTAAATAGTACCATGTAAAAATAATAAAATTTCCATTATATATATATAATATTTAAATTTTTGATTATAACTTCAATGGAATGTAAGTAAAGATGCACACGGAATCCGGAAGACTTTAGACAAAGGAGGATAATAATCTATTTACACAATGAAGTTCAAAGTGAATATTTTTCTTCTTCAGATTTCCTTATAAATTTATGTTATTCATACTCTTATTAATGTGTATTAAACAGTGTTCAATTGAAAAAAAAAATCTTTCAAAATCAAAATCAATATGTGAAATCCAGATAATCACAAGTGAAGGTTTAGTTTTGACTTACTATAGGCAATAACACTTCAGTTTAATAGCATGAGGGATCATGCACCATAAACATTGAAAATTTATCACAATTACTAGAGAACCGACAGTCATCTCTTCAAAAAGCTGTTCTCTAAATAATGTAACTAATAGGGCTAGGGTGGCCTAGGGAACCAACGCCTGTGCACAGCACCGCGTTGCCTGGCAACCTGATGGAAGATAACATAATAAAATAATTATGAGTTCACGTCCTGGTGATGGGAGGGGGAAGGGGCCTTTTAACTCAGGCCCTCATCCTCTAAGCCAGGAAAACCCTATACAGTCTAAAAGGTGGGGACAATAAAATTAATGTAAATAATTTCAACTTTCACATTAACAGTTAAGATTTTAATCAAAGATAACTCAAACTGCAGAAAGTGGAAATTCTGATGGCTTTGAAATATACTAAATACTCATGGAGCATATAAATTAATCTTTTTTTATTTCAAATTCCCTGCAGACTCTGCCAGATGAACACTTACAATTTTGTTCAAATAGAACCACAATCTTTTTCATATAATAGAGAGGCACAGTATACCTCATTAATACTAAATTATCAACACAAAATCATATACATTCTTCAGATTACTATAAATGCAATAGATTAAGTATTGAATCACAAGAGAAAAGTCCCTCGACAAAATTAATGCTAGGCACCCCTGTTGAAGTTATTTACAACTCGGCTGATTTTAAGCATTCTACATGCTAGCTGTTCCAATTCACTCTCTTTTACATAGACCTTCAATACTGGATCTAATTCCATATGTTTATGGTTAACTATTTTTAAGAAACGGTCATCAGGGATGATACAGCGAAACTTATCATTTCTGCAATTATTTTGTACATAATATTTCATCATCAAATCATGAATAAATTTAACATACATAGAATCAATAGATGACAAGGAACTGCCTTCATGATGATTGTTTCCTTTTAGAGACAATAGATATCCTTCTGTCAGTATCGGCACAATGTAATTCATCTATAACATTTAAACATAATTTAATGAAATGATGATATTAAATAATAATGGTGCTTATGCCATTTACCTCCTTTATTTTTAAAAATTAAGATATTTCTACATAAGGTGTGGTCAAAGCTATCTATTCCCAACTATCGTTCACCATATTTAATGATTATACTTTTGATTTTGAAATTCAAAGTTAACCAGTTCAATAGACAGAAACAGATCTTAAATGGTAAATTTTTAGCTTGAAGAATATTTGCTTATTTGCACAAATTAGTATATAAGAATTAAAAACATTATTGTACTTTCCTAAATTACGAACTTTTATGATATTATAATCTGTGGTACAGACCACTTTTTATCAAATTATTAACATCACCCAGAAACTTCGTAAATACCTTCATCTCATCATAACCTACAACTATTTTATTTACAAAAATTCTCGGAATTGGGACATTTTTAATCTGGAGATTGACAAACTTTGCCTGTTTAATTAGGTACTAAAACCTCATAAATATTCATTTGTTTTTTAATTGAATCAAAAGATAATTTGAAATTTAATTCGATAAAGAAGGTGACCTTCAAAAATATTGGGCCATTTGGCATGACCTACACCCTCAACGTTTCAAAATAATGAGGTTATATATGCTCAATGACCCAATATTTTTATAGGCCACTTTTTTTCTCAATTTTGTGATCAAATTATCTTACGATCCAAGTTGAAATCAAATGGGTATTTATGAGTTTTTGTACCTAATTAAATAGACAAAGTTTGCCGATCTCCAGATTGAAAACACCTCAATTACGAGAGTTTTCTTTAATAAAATAGTAGTAGGTTATGATGAGATGAAGCTATTCAGGAAGTTTCAAGCAGATGTTAATAATTTGATAAAAAAGGGTTTGTACCATGGGCTATTGTTAGCTTAAAATCAGTTAATTCATTAAGAATCCTTTGGGAAATTGTAATGTAATTTCGCAAACCTATTAACCCTTAAAATAGTTGGAGTTGAAAGAACAATAAGCCAATTTAGACAAAGCAGCATAAGACATAATAGCCCTGCATAGAAGCAATGATTCTATGCAAAAACAGAAAAAGAAAAAATGCAAAATGATAAAATATTGTATAAAAAAAAGGGGAATTTTATAATTTTACTAATATTGTTACGGTCTTTAATTTAGAAAGATCGTTTCCACAACAAACTGAGCCGGATGCTCAGTGGAGACGGCAGGGTTCAAAAAAAAAATAATCAAGGGTCAATTAATAATTACTATCTAACGAGCGCCACGCTATTTAAATGGTTGAAATTGGAAAATAGCGAAAACCATAAAAATAAAAATAAATTTAATTAAAAAAAAAAAAGATTAGGACGCAGAGTGAGCTACGAACTCGGAACCTTTGGGTTTAAAAACATATGTTAATTAACCTCATAACCTTATCAACCTTCTTATTCGGTTAATAATCACTTTCCCTAATCCCTCGAATAGGGTTTTACAATACCTTATTAAACCAAAAAAAAAAACAATATAATATACACATAAAACGTGAAAACAAACTGAAGAAAAATAAGAAAATAAAACTGGCTACTATTAATACTAATGAAGTTACTTATTTCTATTAATTTCAAGAACTGTTAAAGGAAATGAAAATTATGAACAAGAAATTAGATTTATAAGAAAACGAAGAAAATACAATTAACTTTAATTACCAAAGAAAACAATATAAAATTATTATAGGACTAAACATTAACTTACAACTATACAATAAAGCAATTACAAATATTTGGAAATAAAAATAGATAGAAAAAAAAAATTATATGTACATATTTACAATATCCCACTGGTTGAACTCTGTTCAATTGGCATATTAGGTTATCAGAAGAATCGGGATCTTATTCGAACTAGTGTCGTCAGTGCCTCTCCAATTTATCTCCTCAAATTGTGAAAATGTTCATTCACCAACTTGCAAGATCAAGCGGTACTCGTCACTGATAATCACAGGTCCATGAATAGTAAAGAAAATCCGGTGTACACCGTAAAACTAAAGTATTTTACACACAAAATCCTTAGCATGCCTCAACACTCGGAAGGTTCCGCCATCTCTCTCTCATCTCTCTTTTGTTTTTCCTCCGAGTCAGCTGTTGGCTGTTACACTCACTTAAAAATAATATTTACAACTAATACTTAAAACTAAGACTTAATATAAACAATTACTTATTATTAAAACTAATACTAAATACTTAATTAACTAATACTTAATTATATATTTAACCCTCTTCGTGTTAGTAAAAAAACATATTATTATTTATAAAAACTAAAAATTATTTTACGAACTAATTTTTTTTTTGTATTTTATTTTTCGTTACAATATGTAACTAAATTTCATTTATGAGAAGGAGTTATTTGGGGGGTGCGGTCAAATAAATACTAAATTAAATTAGTATTTATTTGACCGCACTCCCCAATTAACTCCTTCTCATATTATATCATCGGTCAACCATCTCTACATCATTATAAATTTCATTTAAGTAAAGATTGCTCTTAAGTTATCACAGATGACTTACCTGTGGGAATATATGTGAGATGAATTCTTCTGGGTTTTGCAAAACTTTATCAATATGTTCTTCTAATATTAAAACTCCTATTGGTAAATGCCTACCTCTAGCCTTTCTAAACTGGGCAGCAATTTTTCTAGCTATTTCTTCACCATCAGCAGCAAAAGTGAGCATAATTCCTTTGCTAAATTTTTTCTGAAATTTTACGTAAAATAATTAATCTTACAATAGTTGTAGATATTGCTTATTAAAAAACAAAATATGAAAATATATAAATAGAGACAACCAATAATTTATAATTCTTTACCAACAGGGGGTATCGTTATAAACAATAATTAAGAATTAGTTGACATTTTAAGATTGTTGGCTTTTTCACAACCATCTTAACTGGAGAGAATATTATTCATGGGCAAATAAGTGAGAGACAAGTTGACATAACAGTAGCAAAATGAACATGAAAACTATATTTACTTACCACTTTTTTCTTGCTAACGATTGACTTGTTTTGTAATTGACCTTCATTTTTCGGTACCTCATTATTGTTGATAATTATTTCTTGTTTTTCTTTGTTTATTGCAGGGAATAGTTTTAATGTAATGGGTAACTGATAAGGTAAAACTGACAAGTGTTCAGGTCTTAAAATTCCATCACTAGTTCCTTTGCCTAAAAATATAAAAAATCAGTTTTTTTGTATTCACTAAAAGTGATTGAAAACTTTATTTCTTAATCCATTTAATTCAATTACCGTGAATAATAGAATCAATTTCAGAACTGATGTTTTCTGTGCGTTTAATTTGTTCCTGTCTGGCAATTCTTTCCAACTCTAAAACAAATATGAACTAAAATCTTATCTTCATTAATTTATGCTAAAATGCAAGAAGCAAGAATATATAAGTAACACCCTCTACCTTGAAAACCCTTTTTAACCACAGACAAAGCATCATATCTCTTCAATGACTGAAGAGCAGAAACGATGGTGTCTAAAGTGGAGTCCCAATGTTGAGCAAATGTTTTCAACACTACTTCAGTTGGATCTGACTTTATCTGTTCAATACACTGCAAAGCGAAAAAATAAAATATGATGCTAAGACTATACTGTTAAAAAAAAAAAGATTGCTAGTTTATGATTTAATTAAAATGTAATTCATTAATTTTTGTTTCCTTGTCACATATCAAAGATGTGATCTATTTTTCTTTTTTCCATTGGATTTATAATACTTTAAAGACTAGTGCACAGTACAACACTTAGGCCGGCGGTAAATTGAGCGAAGGGCAGGTGCAGCACAGAGGGCAGCAGAAGTGCAACAGAGGACCCAGTTCTGAGCCGTTCCAGCTCAGTATGTGCCGATTCCCGATTAAAGCTAACAAGTTATTTAAATAAGTATTTTAGTGGATGGGGTGGCCAAATGGGCTAACGTGTGTGCACAGCACTGCCGTTGCCCGGCAATCCTGACAATTGATAACTAGATAAAAGTCACGAGTTCGCGTCCTGGTGCCGGAGGAGTCTTTTAAATCCCCGCCCACACCCCCTGGAGCGAGAAAATCTCATGTAACCATAAAGGTGAGGAAAGGGAGGACCCAAAAAAAAAAATTTATTTAGACCTTTAAATAAATACTTTTATTTAAATACTTAACTTCAATAAATAAAATTTTTTAAATAAAAGTATATGAATAAAGTTAATTGTATTTCTTATTTATCAAATACTGTTATTTAGAAGAAAATGCTGAGTAATAATAATATTATTTCATCTATCTCCTATAAAATCAACTATGTTATTATTAATAAGAAAAATATTTATTCATTTAAAATTTCTTCTATATTTGGTCCAGTTATGGTATTCTACGACAGTCTCTCACCAATCGATTTGTAATTCATTAATTGTAACTTTTCAGATTTCTTCGATTTAGGGTCTGTAATTACATTAATGGAGGCTTGGCTTTTGAAATTATTATCGGTTTTATGATTATTTACTGTGTTAGTTGTTTAGCTAAAATATAAAGACAATGTGAAATCAAAAACAGTTTAAGTAATTTTGTTTGCAGTTAATTTTAACTTTAACATGAACAAATAATACCTACATCATTTTTCAAATATTTTTTATTTTAATAATAAATAACAAATACAATTTTATAATTGTAATATATAGTAAGGGAAAGTATTGCGATCGTGAAAAATTTTTAATCTGAGTTTTCAACAGAAATGCACATTTTGGGCTACCCTTAGTCCAAATAACCAAGTTCCGAAAAATGGTCTGTGTGTTTGTACGTTAGCAGTCTAGCTCAAAAACGAAAAGTCGTACAAAACTGATATTATGTATTTAACATAGATAAATACCTTAGATGTGACAGCTACTTTTTCCTTAAAATTGGCTTACCAGAAGTGCCACTTTATATCAACGATGAAACACATTTTTACAATTTTCTCAAAAACAGCTCTAATGATTTTGGTTAAACTCGGTGTATAATTGTATAATTAAGTGGTCTTTAATACCATTTAGGTCTTATCCCTGTTGATGTCAATTTACAGGGCTTAAATGATCAATGTTCATATATGTCTTCCTCTAAAGTACTTTTAATATGGTTCATTTCTAATAATTAACTATCACTCATTATTAAAAGTTACGAAAAGATGCTAAATATAACTTTTGAAAGAATTTGATAATTGAATAAAGGAGAAAAAATAAAAACGTTTATCCAGGTCGAAAATGAATTTCCGAAAATACTAGTCAGAAGGTGATATATCGTATATCAGAAGGTATAATAATCGTTGGAAAGCGGAGAACTTTATAAAAAACAACATCTAATATAGAAAGTTTTAGAAGATAACGGAGAGTGGCAAAAACATTATAAATAATAATTTTTGAAAACTATTAATATTTAACGTAAACCACATGTTTTCAAGGAAATTAAATTAAATTTACTAACTAAATTTAACCTTTTAAAATATTTATAAGTTTGAAAAAAATATTTAAAATCCACCTAATCAAGGCAATGACATTGTTTTAAAAAACTATTTTATTGTGCTTTTTAGAAAGAAGAAGTACAATATAAAATCATTTCATGGCTTTATAAAGTACATGTTTATAGCCTTAAATACATTTATTGTAGTTTAATAATTTTAGATCTGATATTATATTTAAATAATTAGGTATCAACGTCTGTTTATTCCAAAATATTGTCATGTAACTTTTTAGAAAATTAAATTAGTGAATAATTTGATGAATCTTCTGTTTGTGATATTCCAACAGTACCCACTACTATTTTATTGATACGTTTATAACCTTAAATATATTTACTTTAGTTTAATAACTCTAGATCTGATATTATATTTAAATATTAAGGTATCTATCGTCCGTGTATTCCAAAAAATCATCATGTAACTTTTTAGAAAATTAAATTAGTGAATAGTTTGATGAAATTATCTTTTGTGATATTCCGACAATATCCACTTAAAGTTAGTGTGACAACTTTTGACCTATCTATGATGGAGAATGCAAATCTCTTAATTCCGCTTTAGTAAACTTTGCAATGGTAAATAACAGTTTAATAACTAATAGTCATTCAGTCCATAATCAATGGATCGTGCAATTCATAATCAACGGATCGTACAATCCATAATCAACGGATTGTACAATCCATAACCAACCCATGATATAATAAATAAAACTTTTTTAGCTTTAGCTCAGTTAAAAATGCAATTCAAAAAGTTTATAATAGCCCAACATGGCCGGAAAATAATTTCTATTCAAAGTTGAGTAACAAGTGAACGTTGTGTGTTGCGTGCACCAGATTTTTATAGAAGTGATAGCAGACATCAAGAGCAACAAAATTTTTTTATAAATAATGGCTCGATGTTCAGCAAGAACGAACAAAAATAATGTTTTGTGGTTTTTTAGGTGTCACATTTTTTGTTGAATAGAAAGGGATAACTAAAGAACTATTTGATGAGAAAACTATTTAACAGCAAAATGTGCAAAATATGGCTGCTAGCAAACTAAATTTTAACACGATCTGAGTCAGTTAAAACGTACTAATTTTGTTAAAGTATGGAGGAGGTTATAATAAGATTTTAATTTATGTTTACTTTTTTGTTTTAGGTTTCTAATTTTAAATGGAACAAATATAAAAGAAAACTGGAAAAAAAAAGTGGATGAAAGAGAAAAAAACTATGCATAAGATAATTGTGGAGAATATGATGAAGTTCAGGGACAGTAATTTGATTTAAAATTAAAATTAAATATAATAAACATTGTACATATGAGTGGCTTCGTATCAAAGACGGACATCTATGATTTGTAGAAAGTGAAGAAAAGGCCAATTTTTGTTGTATCAACTCAAACCGTTTCTGATGATTTTATATAAGAATGTTCATGTTGAATCATTAAAATAAATCATTAGATTTGATTTAAATTGAAGCTACGTTAAAAAAATTGGCTTTTTCTAAACTTTTTTTGACAGATGTCTATCTTTGATATGAGGCCACTCATATTGCTAGATTATTTTTAACAAAATTACAAACTGTTTTTATGAACATTGCACCATTATCCAAGTTCAACTAATCTTTCGGAAAGGACAGTCGAGTGGTCTAATGCCTGTCCAAAGCCTGCGTTGCCTGGCAGCATGATAAACTGAAGATTACGAATTTATGTCAAAGTGCCAGAGGCTTTTAACTATAGCATTAATCCCCTGCCTTAGGAAAAAACTCCATTTGGCTGAAAAGGCAAGATAGAGGAGGGGTGGGGAGGGGGGGGGGAGAGAGAGAGGGAGTTCAACACGAATGCCAAATTCAAACAGGCACAATTACAAGATGGGTTTTAAGAGTGTATTTTTTACACTTGTTTTTATCGTGTTGTTTCCACACTCATGACATTTTAAAAACTTCAATTCAACTATAAACACCAAAAATATCCAAGAAAAACAAAAAGCATAACACAAGTGGGAAACGCACGGAGTGTGCCACTACAGTTTTCCAAGAAATTTCAAAAAGTATGGCGGTTATAAGAGTCAGGGGAAGATAAGAAGATGCAGATGGAGAATAAGGACTTGATAAATGAATAACAGAGGTTATGACATCCATACACAATGAAAGATTTTACAGCCTAAAAATTATTGCTGGAGCATTCCGTGCACCAGAGCACGGAACTCAATTTAACCGCTCAAAGGTTAAGTAGACGAATTATCAGTTCCCAATAATATCTATTAAAGAAAAGTTTTGCAGATTTTATATACACCTTCATTGCATCAAGAGAACATATATTATCACTTATCTGCTGTAATATATTAAGTCAGAACCACAACACATATTAATGAGTTCACATACTGAGAAATAATTCTTAAATATCAAAGCTTATTTTTCAATGTTATTAACAAATTTACAAAATGTAAAAACATCAAATGACCTTAACTTACTCCAATTTGGTGAAATGATAGATTCAGAACACCAGCTAGATTCTTCCAAGAGGAATAGTAGAATGATGTAGGTGTTGATGAAATCACTTTACACAAATCCGCCAATACCTCAACACCATTGGGAGTGAAGAGGTATGCAGCATGAATGTTTCTCACTTGATCTTTCAGTTGATTAAATATTTCATCATAATTAATATTCTTTGATTCAGCAAGTATTTCATCCCGGATTTTCTCTAGCTCAGGTTTTCTATGTGGTTTTAAACTTGTTATTTTTACTTTCCTGAAAAGAAAATTCTTTCAACTCCAACTTACAATTTAAAAGATTAAATTAAGAATTACAATTTTAAAAATTATGTTTTTTGATTAAAAAAAATCAATAGGAAAAGTGAATATAAATAATTGAAAAATTGAAGGTCAACACCAATAAATGTTTCATTGCTAAGCTTCCACCATTCTTGGAAATTAATTAACAGTTTTCTTTGACCTATTGCACAAACATCTTATTTCAATAAAAAAATTAAATTGATTGATCTTGACAGTAAAGAAATTACTAGAAATATCAACTTATAGCCATTCATTAATACTTACGGTTCAACGTCACAAGTTTGCATTTTGAATACGATTAGAGTAATAGACTATTGTTTTCAAGAAATTTACTATTTACTATTTATCACTTAATAAAACAATAACATACTTTGACAAAGTAAATACAAAAAACAAACTTCAATGCATTGCTTTATGACATGAGATAACACCTAATCAGCTATAAATAGACTGCATATCCAAAGAGAACACACTACCAACAAGAAAGATTGACAAAGTTCATTGGCGGACACAACTGACTTTTTCTTCTTTCTTTTTTTGAATTTATTCAAATATGAATTTTAAATCTTCTCATGTAAACTATATTGAAATACTAAAAATGTACTAAGCTGACGTAAAGCTAACTAGGATGAGGTACTAAAAGCTGACCACCGATTACCTTATATTAAATGTATTCTAATCAGGATACATTCTTGATTCTTTCTCCAGTAACAGATATGCCTGGTTTATCTGTTCCCTGATTTGCTCCTCGTATATCAGACGCACCTCCGGAACCTTTTTTTTGGGGGGGGGAGGGCTTCTCCCTTTCCTTGCCTTTAAGGCTATACGGGGTTTTCCCGGGCCAGGAGGTGTGGGCAGGGATTTAAAAGACTCCGTCCCCCGGTGCCGGGACGCGAACTCGTGACTATTTTAAATCCATTGTATCATAGATCAGGTTGCCAGAAAACGGCGGTATTGTGCACACACGTTAGCCCGTTCGGCCACCCTCCACACTTAGATCCAACTCTGGAACCTTAAGTTTGTCAGTGTCAATCCTTTTGCTTCTTTCTTTATTTTTTTTTCTCTCCTTCCTTGCCTTTGAAGCCACACGCCTCCAGGGGACTCTTTTTCAAGTTTCATGAGGCAGCAAAATGGATGAGTCATTGGCCGTTATCATTGCGCTCTCCGTGAACACTGAATCTCCCAATAGCTGGAAGGAATATCTCTTCACGGCCAACCTTGGTATTGAAATCCTCCATCAGTGTTTTAATAGCGCTTTGAGGTCATTAATCTACCTACCTTTCTTGGGCATCGTAAAATTCTTCTTTTTTCTCTTCAATTAATTTTTTTCAATATTTATTTTTTTAATCCACACCTGTGACAGCCTGTAACTATAAGCGGATGTGATTTTTTTTTTGACAGAATTACCATGACAGGCATGACTGAGGTCTGTAACCATCGGCACCTACTCCTAACTTGAATTAAAAAGAAAAGCTAAATCGACAAGGTCTCTTAACCAGCTACTTTTCAGCCATCGTCGGGCGTATTCTGGCGTATGTGTCGTGACCATGGTTTGTATAAATTTTTGGTGTGTCCGTGAAGTTTTATATACAATTTTGTATTTGATGTCCGAATGTGATCTTGTACCATCGGTGTGTGTATGTCGGTATATAAAGATTTGTTACTGACGAACTTGGGCGAACATGTGATGAGTCTTAAAGTTTTTAATTGAAAAGTCTGTCATTTGTTAATTTGAATCTTTTTAGCTATCCCGTAGATTTGTGATGCAAAAGTCCATATAGCTTTTAGTAAGTAAGTGTAAGCGTTTAGTTTTTGTCTCTTAATTTAATTTTGAATAACTTCCATTCAGAAACTTATCATTCAGTTTGTACCAAAATAATAAGATGGGTTTTGAAGGTCGTCTGACGTTCTGTTAGTGCTTGAGAGATTTTGCTAAACTAGGTTGTTTATATACTTGTTAAAGTAATAGAAGGAGCTGGTAAGTGTTCTATTATTTTTCAACATTTTTAATGAGTAAATTAAGATAACAGTCAGAGCCGTTCTTCTATAGCTGTAGTAATTCATCTCTGTATCAATTTAGATTGCTAATGTGAGAAAACTTTCAACTTCACTATGTCTTTTCATAAAGATGAATTTTATTATTTGGCAATCACTCTTCAAAAGTCGGATTTTAAAAAGATAGTACCATAAGTAATCAAAATAACTGTTTCGTATTAATGAATTAAGGATTTTCAAAGACCAAATTTTTCAGTTGGTTGTGCTTTTAGACATTTTGGAGATTCATATTACTACACAAAGGTTTACGTTACGCAAAATTCGCTAAGTATTAAATTTAAAAATCCAACTTAAGCAATAACAAAATCCACATTCAAACAATCTCGCGATTCCTGTGTACGGTGAGTAGTGGTGAACGAGCGAGAGGGAATCCGAGTGGCATAGGACTAGGACTTTATTTATATAAAACTTCCTAGAAAATTATTCATATAAACGCCATAGCCTACAAAATGATATCCCAATGAAGTCTTTATGTAGAAAAATGAGATCGGAAAAAACGCAAAAAGATCAAAATTTTGAAATTGCTTTTTGACTAAGATAATTTTCCTGTTAAAATATTTAGTTTTTACCTTTATTATATTCTGAAATTGGATTGAATATCGACCCTTGAGCTTCACAAACGTGCGAAAGGTACAATTGCTCAATTGCATTATCCATCACAAATTGGTAGCGATCTTTCACCAAGTTAACATCAATTATTAGGACAATGTTAACCATTAGCAGTTTTTTGCCCCTAAACCCAAAACAACAAAATCAATTATTTCTCATTTGAGAATAACAATAAGTCAAGAAAGGTAATGTGACCGATTTTTGATCATTGTCGAAAGAGAAAAGACGGATAAAACTGATTTCGAAAACATCATTGATATGTTTGGGTCGACCAGGAAGATGCAATTGTAATTGTAAGGGTTTCACGGCCATACTTTCGTTCTAAAATAAAAATAAATATTTTATGTAAATTTTACTCTTCTATTTCGTGTATCTGTTTTTTATATTCAGATAATTTACGAAGGAGCGCCGTTATCGAATGCTATGCTTCAACTCTCCTGCCATTTCAACTTAGCTGCGGTGACTGCTTGGCCCAATGGGGTTTCATGCCGCAAGTTGCGTCATAAAGGTTTTTGAGAGAGGAACATTTTGACGCGGTTATGAATTTTCGGAGCGAAAAGTTTTAAAGCAGTGAATAAGGCGGAAAATATGCACCAAATCACTGCAAGCGTGATTGTATTTGATCCATGATTTTACTAATACTACTTTCACACGGATTTTTTTTTAAGAAGAGAGAGCAATCCAATTTCTTTGGAGAGAAAGGGAGTGTTCATGCGCCAGTTACCTGGGAAAGGGGGGAGGGAAGATGGGCTCCCCTGACCAAGAGAACCCAACTTTTGCTTCCTTATTGAAGAGTTTGACATAATATACTGACGTGATGATTAATATTTTCTTTACTTAGCTTTCTACTCGACAATTGCTAATTGCAAGATTTACCAAACTTGAAAGGCAATCTCCTCATATTCTATTTAATGATTAAGCTTAGTGCTCCAAGTTTTCGAATTTCATGAATCACATAAGTAGAAAAAATAATAGTAAATAAAATATAATGCGAAGGTCAAGACTAATACTATGTTTTGGTCTAGCAACCTTGTTCATGTCTAAACTTTCATTCATTCTCCATGATCCTTATTATTTTATAGTTGATTAATAATTCACTGTCGTAGATTTATTGAAGAGAAGTTAGTTGGTGCGTTCAGTAACAAGAAAAAAAGTAAAAATAGATAAATTTATTTAAAAATAAAAAGTATAATTTATTTATTATTACTTTGTTATTTGTGATTGAACACCCCAACCAATGTTTCTTCAATGGATCCTTACTATTATCATTATAGAGTTTTGTACTGCTTGAATTGAGAAAACGTTGACTGATTGATAGAGTTCCGAAATAGTTAAGCACTTGTATTTTTTTTTCAAAATTCTGACTTTAAATTATATTATTTATCAGGAAATTTTTTGAACGAAAAGCTCTGAATTAATTCATAAACAGATTACACAACTCCCATAAAATTTTTTTAAGAAAATAGAAAGTTCGTTTACATTTCTTTATTATTTTCATTAAAATAATATATTAAAAAAAGACAAAAAAAAAATAAAAAAGAACAGTTACATTTGGCAAAAAATAAATGAAATGGGACAAATGATGTTACCTAATCTTTATGAAGTTACAAAGAGATTATTGTAATCTTGAACATACCTTTCAATTTGACTTTGAAAACGTTAGCTTGGTTAATTTAATTAATATTCACGATGTAAAAGCATTAAGAATCTACCTAATTTTGGTTGAATTATATTTAAACATGAGAATTGATACATTCAGAAATAAAGACGCGCTTAGCGACAGGTTATTGTCAAAATTGATCCCGATTCTATTAGAACCTTTGTCTAACTTTTGCCATTTTACTTCATTATTCTTATTAATTTTCATGTTAATTGAGTAATTTTAAATTGATTTTGTAAATCGAAAAGTTCCTTAAGCTGTTGCTGATAATGTATGAAAGGTATTTTTTCAGTGCTTTAATTTAAACACTTCTTTACAAATTTTTTTTCTGAAGAACACAAATTTTTACTTCTGAAGCTGTTCAATAATCCCTTTGTTTACTTGATAGTTAAAAAATCTTAATATTTTATTACATCGTTAAGTATACGATTTTCATAATAAATTATTTTATGTTAATGTGATAAATAAATATAAAATTAAATACCATGGAAATGGAATTTTATATTATAATTGTATTTTGTTTAAGGTTGCCTGACAATTTAATCTCAGGATAAAACTAGTCTTCTTATCAGATCAAAATACAATCATATTCACTGTCTCGCAAAAAAAAAAAAAAAAAAAATTAAGGTGTGTGCTTTAGACCACAGGATAGAAGTGAAAACATCAACAAGGCAAGATTAATAATATGAAATATAAATTATAAATAATAGTTCATTATGAAGAGGATGAAATGCTGAACATTTCCCTCACTTACAGTACGCAGGTTCGATTTTTAGTTTCTGAGATATTTTAATACATATCTTCAATAAAATTCGTTATCATTTGATTTTTGATAGGATTTTTCTCTTTTCGCCACTCTAAAACCTCATGTTAAGATAAAATTTTGAATAATAGACCATTATTGCACTCTGACCAACTTCTGTTAATTGATCTACAGTTCACCATAATCTGTTAGTGCTATTTGTCTTTGATTTAATATATTAGGAGGATTACTATAATTTCTCTTTTAAAAGGAAGTATTTACATTACAAAATAGTGTATGAAACAAATGATTGTCAAGGGATTCAGAAAATAGAAGAATAAAAATATAAATCCTTGAACTTTTATTATTATGACAGGGAAATTCTTACAGACTCAGAGTGGATAAATACTTTGAAACTAAATGTCAACTATGCTCCTCTTCAAGGAGTTTCAGAGACCAGAGGCCATACAAATGGAAATGTCCTCTGCCGCAAATGCTGCCTAGAGTTAGAAATCCCAATTTGGGCAACCATGTATTGAAAGATATAAACCATATATTGGGCAAATGTCCAAATGACATGCTCCTTGTCACGTGCCGCCCCTATAATATGAAGTATCGAATATCGAAATTCCTGGAGTTGAAAAATTATAGATGCTTCATCAAAATTTATTCTCTGGATACGTAAGGCTCAGCTATAGTGCAAAAAGAAAGTAGGCTCTTATAGTTGATCCTACAATTAGATATGAGACCAACAATGAGCAACAAGATCTTACGATACAAATTGAGAAGGAGGAAATATATATAAAAAATGCATTCTATATCTGAAAGAGAAATATAAAGGGAATTTAGGGAAAGAAATTCTTTGGTATGAGAACTTTGGTTTGTAAGTAGAGGGGCAATTCCTTTTTCAACTACCAGTTTGTTGAAAAGAATGAGATTCAGAGTATGCCAGAGTCTATTATTTTGGACTCACTGGGAATCCTGCACCACTACCTCTATTAAATTAGACCTTTGCTTTATTGATCTGAGTAACAGAATTGAGAAGAATGAGGATGAGAAAAGAAAGGAAACAGCAAATGACATTTTTATATAAGAAGTCTATCAAACTGAATTCTTAGATATTGTCAATCAGATGGATTAGTATTCTCTGTCAGTTAGCAACTCAATACAGTTAAGCAGCATTACAATAAACTGTAATTCTTTCTACTTTACTATTGTTATACTATTATTTTGTCTATTTACAAGAATAGGATTTGAACTTTATCAACGGAAATGGCAGGCTTATAATAAATATTTGCAACACTGAAACAAATAAACATATTAACATAAAAAGAAAACTAATAAATTTAATAATTATTATCATGGGTTAATAATATTACTAATTGTGTCTAGTATTTTATACATACTATTTAATACTAGTGTAAAATAAAATTAGTATTATAATCTGTATTTTGGTTGCTCAACAAAACATTAATCAAATCATAAAGAATACAATAATTACCAATTTATTGAAGTGTTAAATTGCTAGTTTTATAAATAGAATCAAGAATAAAATATATAAATTGTTTTGATTTCATATTAAAGATATTATAATGAGAAAAAAAATTAAATAATGATATGAACTAAGAAGTAAGATATATGCAGTATGAGAGGGGTTGTGGAATTAGTTACTCTCATTTCTTTTTTCTTATTCTTGGCATTTGTTTGTTTTAGCCAGGTTATTGATGACTTAGAAGTTGTGGTAATTGGTGCAGGAATTGCTGGTTTGGCTGCTGCAACTACTCTTCATGGGTCTGGTGTTAAAAATATTGCAATTTTAGAAGGTAACTTTAAGAACTAGCGGTATGACTAATTTCATTGCATATACTTTGATTCTGATATTTCCATTTAATGATTTTTAGCACATGGATTTGTGCAACCACAAGAATATGTGGTTTTAATTTTAGGCAATGATAACCTCATAACATGATAAAATTTTAATAGTGTAAATTTTTTTTCTATAAACATACTAGCCCTAGCATGTTGGTGCTATACAGTTTTTAACTATTTATTCTAGATATTTACAACCGTATTACAATATAAATACATCAAGTAAATGTGTACACAAGAATATAATCACTTGAAAACGCTTGTTGAGAAACTACTCACAGGTAGCACTCTAATAATATGTCTACATAAGGATATCACGAGGCCATCTTCTTTTCAGACGCCTTAGGGGGGGAGGGGGTGCTATACATTAAGTTAGAAATTTGGTCCCAGAGGATTTCTTTGTTTTTTATGGTTGACCCAGGGAATAAATCATGACCTCTCTTTGTTTAGAATTGGTTGTTTAATTTTTGGTTAACAACTTTTTATGCTCTAGTTTATTAAATATAAGTTGGGGGATGTTTAAACCTATAAACAAACATTAAATGATTTTTTTTTTCAACTTATAAGTTTACTTTGTAAACAAAAACAACTGTTTTTTTGTAATTTTTCTTTTCATCCATATATCTTACTCATGCCATACCAATATAATATATATGTTTTAAATTCAGTGAAGACATATATCAAGGAATGGGTTAACTCGATAAGCGACTCATATCTTCTATAGTTTACTTCGAGCCTTGGAAGGTAATTGTTTATTCTGTTACATTAGTTGTGGATTGACCCTTGGGCCAGGAGATTCTCCTCACGCAACACTTTCACTATAAAGTGGTGGGTAACCTTAATTGGAAAAAAACCTGGTAGTTAAATGTGATCCTGGAAAAATCATGTGTTAGTATAACCGTTACTGTAGAAATAATGCTCTTCTTAACTTGAGTACTCAACTCAAGACCCTTCCTGAGTTGAAAAGTCTAGAAAAGTCCAAGTCTTACCTATTATTACTTATCAGAGAAATTTTAATTTCCCACTATATTCTCTATATTTTGACTGATTAATCTCTGCAATTTAAATATATTTATTAAATTATATTTTAAAATGATTTTATTAAACTAGTTTATGGAAAAAGACTGACCCATTTGTTTTAATCACAGCAAAGTTAACACTACTTAAAACAATACATAACTCGGTGAAATATATTCAAAACTATTTTAATTAATTAAGTGGACTTTATCAGTTTCTAGAACTTTAACAACATTATTTTTATCTTGAAAACTTTCATTAGCTGTAATATGTTTCTCCGCAACGCCCCTAACTGTTTTTCATTTATGGTTTGAATACTTTTTTTTTTATTATTTAAATCAGCAATCTTGATAAGTGATAAATGAAGGTGTAGTAGAACTTTAATTTTCTAATAACTTGATGTAACATGTTTGTCTGTTAGCTTATGTGATTTTATATGTAAAATTACATCATCTGATAATTGAAGTTTTATCCCATCCACTACATTCACTTGATATTTCTGTTTACTATTTTTCAGAGTACAAATTTTTGGTTATTTCAAAAAATAAAACAAATTATGTACATGTTCCTAAACTCAGTGCTTATTCCATTGAAGGAATCTATCAATGATTAAATCCAGCACTACTGGACAACAATCTATGCTGAGTTTAGGAACGACCTGCTATATTCCAGTAGAAGGTTATCACTTCCTGAAGGTTATAAAACACATGAAAAATAAAATATATAAGGAAATATTTGCCTAATGAATTGTTGAATTCAGATGAGAAATAAGTATAGATGGAAAGTGAACTGAATATAAATATATTAAGTCATCAAGAAATAAGAATACTGAGGTTGTAGAGAAGCTAGGTCCAACAATATGATCTATTGACCCCAAAAGCCGATGAAATTGCTGAGCTGTTGGTGATTCCATCAATGAGCTCAGGGCTGAGTTTTGGAAGTTGCTCTATTATGAAATGAAATGATAGATTTTTCATTTCTTGAGTTTATTGATTCAAAACCTTGAAGGTCCTCAATCAAGAAATAAAATACCTATTGGGCAATGGGAGAAATATATTGAAACTAACAGAAGTTATTTTGATTTGCCTCTTACCCTAAGAACTGATATTTCATACCAGAAATAGCACCTTAATGGTTGTGATATATAATATGAGATACTTAATAATTTATAGGGCATTAGCAAACTAAAGAAAATTGTCCGTCTAAAACTTTTTCTCAAAGTGAAAGTGGCTTGGGATTATCTCTGCCTTTTGACATTAAAAACCCAAAATTCTTGGTTAATTGCATGCTTTAAATGTAAATTGGATTTAAAAAAATTATATTAAAAAAATTAGTCATTCTAAAGTTGTTATGTAACTCTTAACTCTTCTATCCACTAATATTTTTAATTAAAGAAATGCCAATTTAACCAATTAATGTATTAATTCTTCCTCAAGCTCAGCCAGAACCTGGAGGACGTATTAAATCTGTTCAGTTTGGAAGTGGCTTCGTAGATCTTGGTGCTCAATGGTTTCATGGTACTAAAAATGATCTTTGTCAGATAGCAAAAGAAAATGGCTTTCTTCATTCTACTAACTCTTTTGAAGGCTTAGGTAAGAGAAAATGTTATTGTATTTTTTTTTTCATTTGTTATTCATTTTTAAACTGAATCAAAATTTTCAATTAAAAAGGAACTTTGTTTCAAGGGAAATTTGAATACCATATTTTTTTTATTGCACAAATAATGTTTATTCTGTTGGTGTTAACTGGATTTATAATAATTTGCCCTACTAAATGTACATGTACAAAACCAATAACATTTTATTTTGCTCATTTCAGGAAATTATTATTCCTCTGGTGGCAAAGTAGTATCAGCCAAAGTTGTTGACAATGTCAGCAATGTCATCGCTGAGGCTCTTTCCAAATTAGAAAATATCACTAGTGAAGATGATATTCCAGACTCAGTGGGAGAATATCTCACCAATGAATTTGAAACTTATATTAACAAGATTTGTGACACCGAAGAAAATATAAAATTAAAGAGACAAGTTTTTGACTGGCATCTAAGGTTTGTTTAAAATTTACAATTATGTAAGGATACAGTTTTAAAAAATATATTTATCAACTTGTATTAGGGCAAGATAATCGATGACTGGATATTAGAAGTCCTGATTTACTCATAAGAGCTACCACTTTTTTTTTCAATCACTGATTACATAATTGCTCAGTTAAAAGAGACAGTTCAAAATGGATAGCACATTGTGATTATAATACTTTGAAGAGCACTGTGAATTCAGACTTATGTTAAATAGTAAGCAGCTTACTGTTTATAACAGATTACATTTCTTGTTACATAAATATTTTCCTTATAACATTTCTATTGTTTTTTGTTTTATTTTTTCAATAACCAGAACCTATCAAGATGACCATGTTTCATATTCGGTTTTTTAAACACTTTTTTTTTCAAAGATTAAACAATAGCTAAAAGTGAATTTTATGAAATTTAGATTCCAGGTTATTGATAATGCATGTACTGACCTTTGGACTCTTTCTGCTAAATATTTTGGAAAATATCAGTTCTGTGGGGGAGATGACTACGTCAACCTGAAATGTGGTTTTAGTAAAGTGATTGACCATTTAGCGTCTGAACTGCCTCCTGGAATTTTGCGCACCAGTTGTCCAGTTAAAGTCATTAAATGGAAGAAAAGGGATTCTCATTCCTCAAAAGATATTTGTGAGATAGTGACAGAGAATGGTAAGCCAGTTTTTTTAAAAATAAATTTCTTAGGTTTGTTTTTACAATATGATAAATTTCAGGTGACATATTCCATTGTGAGCACGTGATGGTTACTTGTTCTGTGGGATTTTTGAAGGAGAATTGGTCAATGTTCGATCCTCCGCTACCTTTATCCTATTTGAAGGTTTGCTTTAAAATTATTAATACAATACCACTTAAATCATATTTTTAGGTATATCTTTCATTTTTGTTACTATTGGTGATTCTGGCTATTTTTATGGTTTTTTAAAATATGCTTCATTAATGTGCTCCTAAATGAAGTATATTTTTTCCCTAAGAAAAGTAGGAGGTGTAATATAGAATAGAATAGAATAGAAAAATAATTTTATTCTGGGACGAGGTCCCTTCAGAATAACAAAAAAGTACAAATTAAAATTGTACATCTGGCCAGATGAAACATGATATATAGCATATAGACTCCAAAATTCTTTGTTAAGCAACTTTAATTAAGGCAGAATGTCAAATATCTTGGTATTACCATAGATTCAAAACTGAACTAGGGACCACATTTGACAGAAGTTAAAAGGAAAACTGTAATAGCCTTTTGGAAAGTAAGACGTGCTGTTGGAATAACTTCGGGGCTTTAACCCTAAAGTAATGCATTGGATATATACGACAATAATTGGACCTAGAATACAATATGGAAGAGTGGTGTGGTGGGTTACCATAAATAAGGCCACTCATATGTGAATGTTATGTCGCATTCAAATAATGGCCTGCATTAACATTACTGGGGCATTCCGCAGTACACCTACAAAGGCCCTGGTTATCTTATTGCTATTGACTAATAGCAGGGACACACACTGGCCACTTAGAAATAGCCAAGAAGGTGAGCAAAGAGTTACCTATCTTACGGTATCTCTCTCTTTGCCGCTTGATAAAAACCTAACTTTAGACAGTTCAGTAGAAACTCAAAAGGACTATCTGTCCTGTTTTACTGATAGGTCAAGAAAATACTCAACTACTTTAACGAGTGCAGGAGTCTATTTAGAGAACCTAAATATATAATTAAGCATACCACTAGGTAAACTCACTACAGTATTTCAAGCAGAGGTGTTTGCTATACTTTCTGCAGCCACCCGTCTAGAAGTTACTAATTGCGAGAATGCTGGCATCACTATCTATTCAGATAGCCACTCGCCACTACAAGCCTTGGAGTCTCCCAAAATGACCTCCATGCTGGTGCAGGAGTGTAAACAGGCTTTGGAGACTCTGGCCTGCTCCAAGAGTGTGGAACTAGTGTGGGTCCCTGGTCACAAGGAAAATTTTTTTTTTTTTGTCTATAACAAATATATTTGCGCCTGTCAAAATATTAAAGGCAATGAAAAAGCCGATGACCTTGCAAGGAAAGGAGCTGAATTTCCTATTGTAGGTCCGGAACCTGCAATAGGAATATCCAAAAAGCATCAGCGGAAAGAAGAACTTGATTGGACCTGAAAAAATCAGGTATAGAATGCACTGGGCTTAGACAAGCTAAACAATTTATCAAAAGCCCCTCTCTCTCCAAAACAAAGTGGCTGCTGGGACTGACTAGGAAAGAAATCCGACTCATCATCGGAGTACTAACAGGCCACTGCAAACATAAAAGACAATTAAAAGATCTGTGGGATAGTGGATGATGAACTCTGCAACCTGTGCAAAAATGCACCAGAAACTACCCTCCACTTCATAACAGAATGTCACTCAGATACAGACTTCTGGGCACTGCCAGAATCCAAGTATGTAAAGCTACCTCCATAAAATGGCCCAACCTTTTGAACTTCATTAGAAGAACAAAAATGTTTGAGACAGAGTTGGAGTTACAATAAACAACCATTGATAGTATCATCTTTGGGGGTTGACAAAAAGGACCAATAGGCCCATTTGCTGGACTAAGTCCCCCGCCAGTACCAGTACCAGTTTATAGTATATAGTTTATTTAATATATAATGACTTAAAATTACCAAAATATAATATAGTATATAAGAAGGAGTTAATCGGGGGGTGCGCTCAAATAAATATTAAATTAAAAGATAGTAATTATTTAATTTTTGCCAACGTTTCGACCCACTTTGCAGTGCATTCTATACCTCCTGTCTTCAGGGCGTAGGATGTAGCACTGCGGGCAGTTGAAACACTGGCAGTCATATGTCAAAACCTTGACTGCCAGTATTTCAACTGCCTCCCGCAGTGCTACATCCTACGCCCTGAAGAAGACCTGCAAAGTGGTTCGAAATGTTGGCAAAAATTAAATAATTACTATCTTTTAATTTAGTATTTATTTGACTGCACCCCCCCGATTAACTCCTTCTCATATACTATATTAACGGTCAACCATCTCTATATCATTATAATATAGTATACTTACTATACTATACTTACTTAAAGAATAGTTTTTATTTTTAGATAATAGGAATAATTTTTTTTAACCACTTAAAGTTATGAATGTTTTCAAACCCAACCTTATTGCAAATATACAACATAAGGGATATTACCATTAAAAATTTCAGTTTCAACTCATGATTTCCAAAGTAGAGTTGGGATGATGTTCAATGCTACAAAAAATGTAACATAGATTTTTTTTTTACAGACATATCAGTTTCACATTGGTTAGTTGGTGTTAGTATTATTAAGCAGAAATATTGATGTCAAAGGAAAATTCTTGTTATATAAATTCAAGAATGAAAATATCAATGTTGGTGGTGGATATCAAGTTGCTTAATTGCAGACTACTTCAGCAATCCAAATTTAGCTCTTCTTTCCTATGTGTAATCTCCTATCGTAGTCTTACGACCTACTGGCTTCTACTTTGTTAATCTAGAGTTGTATGGTCTTTAACCATATGTATCTCTTCATAAAAATTCAATAGACTAATTTTGGTTTTATAATCTGAGTTTCTTCATTTAAGCATTCATAAAAAATCTATTAGGGTCATAATGATACATTAATCTTCACTGTTAAATGTTTGTGAAAGTAAGAATTATATGATTTAATATTGATTGGTCATAGAAATTATTTTGTTGAATTTTTTAAAACTTATTTTCTGTAACTTAGACTTAAAGTACATGTACAGTTTAAAAAATAAATAATAGATGGTGTATAGGATTTAAATGTATATATTATAATCTTCTTGTTCCTTATTTTATATTTTTAGGGGTTTAATTGCATAGGTTTCGACACACTGAACAAGGTATACTTGGAGTATGATGAATGCTGGTGGGGATCCCTAGAAGGAATACAATTCGTTTGGGATTCAGCAAAGAGGAAGAAAATGGTAAGTTTTTCACATCTTTATGATATCAAACATATTCCTATTGCTCAATAGAATATATTTTGCAGTTGGAGGGGGATGACACGCTGTGGACTTGTGACTTGACAGGATTTGATCCAGTGGTTGGTTTGCCTAATGTCCTTGTTGGCTGGGTTGGCGGAGAAGGGGCTGTCCTTATGGAAGCCTTTTCTGCTGACCTCATCGGCCAACACTGCACTCAGGTATTGAGGGAAATAACAGGAAATACTGAAATTCCAATACCTAAAAGATGCACAAGGTTGGCTAAGCTGGAGTTATTTTAATTTGTTAGCAAATTTGTCCTTAGTTGCAACACTTATATAGATTTTCTTTTTCAGTTCTTCTTGGCACTCTAATAAATATATTAGAGGTGGATATAGTCATCTAAATACTAATAAAGGGAAGTGTAAAGCTGTTATTACATCTCTTCTGAAGCCAGTTTGTAGTATTTATGAAAATTCAAAGGTTAGCACACTTTATTATAATTATTAATTGTATATTAGGCCTCTTCTACTTCTTAGGGTTTTCAGCAGTAGTGCTGTTTGAATTGTTTTCTGTCATAACTATTAATTATTTTTGGAAATTGTTGATCACCATGTTTCAAAATATCTATTATTTCTTTTGACAACCCTATTTCTAACTTCTTTTTCAATGTTTAGCAATTTTGTATCATTTTACATGTGATGGCTTTCAGATTATACAGAATATATCAATGCAGAAATTCTGAATATCTAATATGTAATTGGAGCAGAGAATTATTTCCTATTTTCGACAATTACTGATCTATTTTCTGCAATTTTTTGATGATTTTTTTCTCCATTAGGCATGGGTTTTAAATTGTAGTTATAGTCTTAAACTGTTGCAATTATTACCTTAATGATTTGTATTTCCATATGCATTTCATATGGTTTGTAGTTTGACTACAAATTTGTAGGTGCTATAAGCTAATTTGAGTGAAAATCACCAATTCACCTTAAAACAAGAACAATTCTGAAAGTAAGAAACATAGCAAGAACAATGTTTAATCAGTTTACATAATGATTTTTGTAGAAGTTAAAACTTTTATGTATATATTGTGATTTGTCGATATATTGCTGACTTATATGGTTATGCAACTTCTGCGTTGGGCTCATAGCTATTTATTTTTATTAAAATTTGCATACTAATTAATGATTTATTTATTTATTCATTATTACAGCATGCATCCATATTTTTTGCTGGTGAGGCCTTACACAGGACCTGCTACTCTACAACACACGGGGCATTTGAGTCTGGAAAGGAACAAGCTATGAATCTTGTCAATCTTATAAACTCCTCAAAATAACTATTTTTTTTTTTATAATTTAAAAATAATATTTCTGTATATTGGTTATTGGTTTTTCATTATATTCTGAATAGGAATTATTGAAAGATGAATAAACTTAATTGAGAAATTACTCAGTTTTATTTAATAATACCAATTTATTGAATATATAGACTGTATTCCTGCTAAATATCATTATTTTGTTATAATATTTATTTCAGTAGTACTTATAAGGTTTTACAGGTATCGTATAGGTATATTTATCAGTGTTGACACATCTCATTTAATATATTTTGGACAGAAAGTTTCCCAAAATACTTTTTTTTTTACCATCTTCACAATTAGGTTCATTCTCTGGATGATTTTTTGTTTATTATTTTTGTAAGATTCTAAATAAATTAGAACTAAGATTACAACGCTTGTTTATCAAAAGCATAACTCTAACTGATTTCTTGTTCACAAACATATGATTACAAAGTTATAACAAAGAGCTAACTGATTTAAACTATGTTAAATTTACAAATCCCAACAATAGTAAGACCACTCTAATTCAGTTTCTGATGCATCACATGATAATATAAGTGGTTTCTCAGAATCATATGGAATCAACGTATCAGTACCAGACAGTAAGCTCTTAGCCTCCTCAAAGCATTCTTCTTCTTGCTGTGTCCATCGCCAACGTGTCTTTGTTCTAGTTGGTCTGTGAAGTGGGGCACAAATAGCATGGAGCTTTGGAATAAAGTGCTCATAGAAGTTAATTGTACCTAAAAATGATCTTAGTTGTTTCACATTTTGTGGATGTGATGCATTCTTTATAGCAGCAATTTTTTCTTCTGCGGGGTGAACTCCCAGTTTATCAACCCGATGTCCCAAATAGTTCACAGATCTATGGAAAAACTGACATTTTTTTAACTTTGTGTGTGAGCCAACAGCCTTCATTCACCTAAAAACTTCTTTTAAACTACTTAAGTGAAAATTTATATCCCACCCGGTTATTATGAGGTCATATAACAGGATACCAACATTTAATCTATGCATTAAATTATCCATAAACCATTGGAACTGAGCTGGAATTGACAATAATCCAAATGGCATCCTCTTGTAGCTGTAAAATTGTAAAATGTGGATGGCTTTAACCAAATATTTCCTACTCCCTGGGTCCATTTCCATTTGGAGGTATGCATCAAGCAGGTCAATAACTATGAAATTCTCTCCTCCCACTAGCTTTGCAGTGAGGTCTCATTTGGTAAAGCAAGATTGAATGCTAAACACTAAGGTAGACCAGCTAGAGGAACATCCTCTTGAACTAAAACATTAGGAGGTAAGTATTTGGTTCTATTTCTTAAGGTTACCTTCACCCTAACCTTGCCATCCTCTTTTAGTGGAATTTTTGCATAACCAGTTATGATAGCTACTGAGGGTTGAAGCTTTTCATCCTTAATCTTGATTCAGTTTCAAAATGATTCAGATATAGTGGATACTAGGGCTCCCGAATCAAATTCCATTTGGCTGCGGAATCCATTTAACCTCATGTCAATAGTAGCTCTTGGAACAGTTGAATAAATAGCTTTTATCTCCATTACCTTCACAACTTACAGCGTCTGGATCTTGGTCTTCCTTATCCACTTCCCGTTTGATTCCTCGTATCATGTTACTCCTCTTCTCTCGACAACGCGCATAATGTCCCCTTCTAGAGCACTTTCTACAGAACGCTTTCCTCGCAGGGTAATGATTTTGCTTATGAGCACCAAACCAGCCACAATTACAACATTTTTTATTATTAACATTTTTATCAACCTTGAGAAAGTTCCTGTTCAGGTGCTGTGAGGAAGAGATGGCTACCTCTCCTCTAGCATGCTCCATCGATAACGATACTTCTAACAGAGCATTAGCAGTGATAGGCTCCCCTTGATAGGTATCCTTCCTGTCTAGCCATCATTGTTGTATTTCGAGTTCAAAATCAGGAAAATTAGCTCCCACAGCAAAACAGTCTCTTACTCGCCCATCCAGGCCCTTTCCATAATTACATTTTCGAGATAGAGTTTTTAGTCTATTAAAATATTGAATAAGTGGCTCACGTGGCTTTCGTTGTGCTCTTTCAAAGTCAAAACGAGATGCAAATACAATCGTCATAGGCTTGAGTAGTCAATTAAATAAACTAGAATTAAGGTTACAACACTTTTTTATCAAAGGCATAACTCTAACTGATTTATTGTTCACAAATTTATTATTACAAGGTTATAATAAAGAGCTAATTGATTTAAACTATGTTAAATTGACAAATCCTACAATTTTCCTAAGCACAATATTAAAATATCCAATGGATATATAGAATAATTAATAATAGTTGCTAATTTTATGTATTAAAACATGACTTTCTCTTCTTTTTTTTTTTTTTTTGTCACATTACTGATGCTGGTAGTTGTGGAGAAGGGAACCAGGCCGGTAGGTGTGCCTTGAGGTCCTTTTTGCTAACCCCTGAGGGTTATGTAATGGTTGCCACTGTCTACTGACCTGAGTGGGATTGTTAAAATTTATTTCTTGGGTCTAATGAGAAACAAACATTAACTGAAAAGGGGGATTTTAACCCATAATTTTACATATCAGGCACTCTGGGACTCTCGCCCCAGCATGCTTGACCCTCGTGTCCTCTTTTTATCACCAACAAAAAGAAAACGAAAGTCTTTCTGGTTTGGTTCTTCTGTGTCGTTCTTTGTTTTTATAATGAGGTGCTTGTATAGATTACCCATGAACTTAAGCTGCACCTTCTGAAGCGAGCAGTTATTCTATTTTTTAAAGATAACTTTTAATCATAATATTTCCAATTTCTTTCTAATTATTCAGAAAACCTGTTACTCTTTTGGATCAGGCATCTCTTAATAGTTCAAAAGGTAAGGCCTGGTTAGTTCTTGACCATAGAAGTTCATGTGATATTTCATTTTTGTGCTGATGAGGATTGCTAAGCTGGATGGGTCCTTCCTTTGGACATCTAGATCAATTCGTCATTAAAATGTATTAGGGTTTTTGTGTGTCCAAGCAGCTGGCATCTATGACTCTGTATAATCCTTCCGACTGAAAGAACTAAATTATTTAGATTTTTGAAGATTTCTATATTCAAAGGAGCCTATCGATATTTCAGTTATACTTTGTAGACAATCAGTATTTTTGTTAAATATAATTTTGAGTATCTGTCAAAATAAAAATTCACTTTTTCAACTTTTACAAGTTCTCAATAACCGAGAAAAGTTTAAAATTAAGAACTGTATACAACATTAAGATTTAAATGACTTACTACAACATATTTTTTTAATAAATACACATTTCTCTATGTATGGAGGATAAGAAACAAGGGATTTTAGGAAAACAGTTCAAATTCCAACAAAGATGCAAGACAAAGTAAACTTCCCCTTTATTTTATTTCAATAAATATGAACAGGGAACATGACAATCATATTATAAAATGTTAACATCCTAAATATGACATAAATAAATTCGGCCAAATTACAACCACTAACAATTTTTTCTTCATTACATGTATCAAAAATTGTTTACAAAAAATACTTCAACAACATTCCACCAAATTGCCTTCGGACGTTGTTATATTGACAATTTCTTTTTTTAAAATGTCTTAACAATCTACAACTAGTATTTCTTATTACAAACTGTCACCAGGCTCAGAAAGCATTGTAACTTCCACTCCCAACTAAGAGAATCATAATGAAATCGCTATTGAGTGAAAGAAAAATGAAATGTAGTAGGAAGGAAACATTTTTTTGCATAGGCTAGGTAAACTGATTAGTTCAAGGAGAAAAGGAAGTGGTCCCAATTTATTATTCCCTGTTTAGAAATTGTGGAAAAAGAAAAAGAGAAAATATGCTTTAGCGACATGATATGTTTTGAAGAAGAGGGTTAAGACATTGTTAACATTAAAACATTCATATGCATAATGTAATAAGTAGTTTAACTAGAACTATAAAAAAAGCATTGCTTCTTTTTGTTTTATATTTTCAAGCCATATTAAATATTGGCTTAGTAACTTAAGATAGAATTTTTGTGCAAAATATTTAAATATTATGTTCAAATAATTGTAAAACTATGTAGACTCAGAGATAATTTTTTGTTTCTTTTATAGCAAGTTTTATAATTTTCAATTAATATTTTTCAGTTACAAAACTTGTTAACACATCACTTGTTAAAATTTTCTCTGGAATGAACAGCTTAAAATGAATTTTATATAGTAATTTGTTATTTATGATTTTAAATGTCATAAAAGTAATCAGAATATATTACTTTTTTTATAATACAAAAGATTTCAGGCTTTACTTGGAGATATTAAATAAATATAAATACTTAAATTTCTTTCTAATGCATGCCCATATTTTAATTTATTATGATCATTCAGTAATAAGATAGTATTCAGGCATGGTGAAGATACTATCTCCTTTCAGAACAGATTGAAAAAAGTTAAGAAAACTACATTTTCTAGATTATTTCATTAAATTAAATTTGAAAAGGGTTTTTAAAAAATGTATTATTTTCAATTATAAGTTTGTTCATTCACTTGGTACAAAATGAAAATTTAGCAATCTTAATTTTGTCCTAGTGATGTTTTACTGTTCTACTACAAGAACAGCATTCAATATTTTCACCCATAATAATGATATTTGTAAAAGTTATGTTTTTCTTCAAATTTTGATGGTTGTAAAATTTGATATTTCTGACCATTTGAATAAATCTCAATAGTTTCATTTATAAATAGTTAATATTAATTTAGGAAAATGAAATAATTTCTACTGAATTAAATGCATGGTTAACAGATATGCGTTTGTCAATATGTAATTCGTTAATTTAAAATCTTTAACGAGGCATCACCAGTATTTAATCATTTTTATTGTTTTAAAATATTTTAACATGTTTTCTCTAATTTGTTTAGCATAATTTGTACACTTCATATAACATTTATTATTAATCATACACTCTTATTCTATAATTTTTATTTTGAATTTATTTTTCACTCTATTTGATAATTGGTCTTAATCTGTATCAAGTTATGTCCATGTTTTTCTATTCTGTTATATAAGCAGGGATGTCCAGAAGGGGGTTTCATGGTGCAAGTTGCACCATAAACATTTTTGAGGGGGCAAATTTCTATGGGGTTATGAATTTTCGAATTAAAGGACAATGGGGAAAACATGGAATGTACTGCAGCAAGTGTAATTGCATATGATCTACGATTTTCCTAATTAGCTTGCTTAGTTTTTAAGAAAAGTGAGTAACAAAATATCTTGGGATGAGGAGTGGTAGATTTTTGTGCAATCGACCTTGGGAGGAATGGACATCCCCGTAAGTGGCCTTGTATTAGTTAACTGATTAATCAAATTATAAATTTTCAATTATTTAAATAAATTATTGCTTTTTAATGAAATTTTGGGAGCTGAGTAGCTCAGTGGGTGAGAACTGACTTACAGAGCTCAGTGTCCCAAGTAAGAATCTGGCTGATGAATAGTAATTTTTCATCCACTGTGGATCGACCCTGGGGCCGGGAGACCCTCCTGGGGCAAATCCAGCCTCTATAAAGTGGGTACTATTAATTAAAATAATTAATTAAGGGGAAAACCTAGTGGTTGAGTGTGATATCAGCCCAATCACCTCCCTGCACAACCATTGGCCTTGTAACAGTACTTCTTCACATTGCACTGAACCCAAGACTTTTCATGGGTTGTTAGTGGTGCAGGTTTTTAAATGAAATTTATTGAGACTTATTAAAAAGGTCTGAAATGTCTAATTTTAAATATAAACCTCAAGAATATAACAAACGATAATAATTTGCATTTTATGTTAATAGTTATTTATGAATTAGAATTTAATACAACTTTCCATCATGTGTTCCACATCTTTAGGATATTATTACTTTGATATCAAAATACACTGTAGATTCTCTTGATACAATGTTAATCTTTGATTCAAATGCATTGAAAATACATCTGTGTTCATATTGAGGCATGTCAAATTGTAGCAGATAAAAATTAACAAAAGGATTACTAAACTTTTAATTATTCTATTAAAAGTATTTTGCCAATATCTTATTAAATTTGTATACTTTAATTTACACATCAGTTGCTTATGAAGAATTACAGGAGCTTTAAATGAAGAATAAAACATATTGACATCTAACCCTTCGGGTGAACATCAACACTAAACAACTACGACATGAAGTACAGCTAACATTAATATAGACAACAGCATGTGAATAAAGCAATTTCATAAGAGCAGGGTTATTCATTCATTTTTCAACAAGGCTTAGTAGAGGAAAGAAAGAGGCACGGCCAAAGGAAGTATGGAAAGCTAAAGAATTTCTTTATTAAGATTACTCTATGAAAGTAGTACAGTAAAGTGTAAAGCCAAAGAAGTATCAGATGAGAGTACATGAAAAACTTGGTTTTGAAATGCAGATAGTAAGTTCATGTATAAGAAGTTACAGAGTTTTGAAAATAATTTAAAGTTGTTCACGTTTGTAAAAATTGAAATATAAGTTAATTTATCACATTAAATAAAAAATGTTCATCTGAACATACTATCACAGTTCTTGACGAGTTCAATGTAATTTTAATTTTTTTCCCTTAATGTTGGAAATTTTTTTTTCTCTAATAACAAGCAACAATAAAAATTAATGAATATGTGATCATGACAGATCCATTAATATGCTTGTTTATCTTTATTTTGCAATTAACACATGGTGAATTATTGGCATCTATCAGTCTTATTTTGGCCGCGCCTCGAAACCAGATATGCCACCCTTTTCTTATTAAAAAAAATAGTAAAGCTGTCACAACTATATATTAGCATTTATATATATTAATAATTGTAGTAATAACTGCAATTTATAAGTAAGTACACATACAATTTTTAATA